GTGCGGTAAAACTGTCACTTTACACTCGTCTGTGCGTAAAATGCTCAGGCGACTGTAAATACAGTCTTTCAATAGGTGTCAATTGTACGTTAATTTGACATTTACATGTCAGGAGGCCAAAAAAAATTTTGCATTCTTTGTTCCTCAATTTCACCTCAAAACTTCTCAAAAGCGTGTCAGTTTCACTTCGCTCGAAGCCATTTCGAAGAAATTTCAGTTCGGCTGTTTGTGTGTTACATCATTTAATAAGCCGGCCTTTAATTAAACTAAAACGACTTAAATTTTAGTACGTGTCAACCTTCAAGGATAATGGGGAAAACTGCCAAGCCATATTTGGGAAAATTGTGTTTCAGGTTCAGGGATTGTTGTACCACAAAGTGCTCGTTATGTCAGTGTTACAAACAATGCGAAATAAACGACAAGACGATTTGCATAACTTTGAGACTTTTTTACGGTTAGGACGGTCAACCGTAATTGCTTTGTTACAGAAACTCAAACATGCATGAAGTTGGTGACGAAGAAATCAAGTGATTAATGGTTTCCGGGTGTGTATGGAGCGGATTTTGGGGGACCACCGGGAGGCAGACCAAGACAGTCCGTTATGTCAGCGACAAGTTTTTCGAGCGAGATACACATCTGACCACAAAGTTATTTCATTGTTTGAAGTTTGAGATAATCAGAAATAATTTGTAAATCGATATTAAGCTCTACCCAAAAAAACAAAACTGTTAGAGTTTTCAAAACTACATTGTTTTAACCACAATCCATTATTTTTATAAATAGATGATTCAGTTTATTATCATCCTGATGATGTCAACTGGGTTGACGCAACATCTTGATGTATTTGGAGAAATTTTTATATCATCTGTTTTTGTATATTTTTTCACAAAAAAGAGTTTAATGTTGTATTTATTTATTCAGAAATCGTCATATTTGATGCAACTTTCATGATTTTCCAGGTAAGATTTGTCATCATTCGTGCACACAAGCAACTCGTTATAAAACACTTAATACGGTTAAGTAATAATTTATTTCTTTCTCTACACAACATTGCACTTAATGCACTATCTTTAAAAAACATGAAGACCTCAATGAACACATTACGTCACGCCATGTCCTCTAGACATGAAAATGCGTTTGTCATAACGGCCTCTGTCTTTTAAACAAATCATCATCGATATCATCAATGTCCGCCGCATCTGTGTACCCGGAATCATCATATCTCGACCTATCCGGAGTCCTAGTACACCTACTTCCCGCCGTGGGACTTCTAGTGGCCAACCTCAAAACCGGATCATCATATCTCCTCGAAACCAGCGTAAAATCGTGATGCGCATCCACCAGTTTTTGCAACCTAGAAATAAGCTCATAATCGGGCATAGGCAACGCAACTCCCAGAATTTTCGCAATCGAGCCTTTGAAACTCTGAAGTTGCGCTTCGCGACGCTGGACTTCGGATAACTCGTCCTTGACTCGAGCCAACTCGTCGCGGAGGAGTTGCAAAGAGTGTTCACTAATGTTGCGTTCTTGTTCAATAGTGTCTCCCGTTTGGCGGACTTGGTCTTTCAGAAGGGTCACTTTTCGGTTGTATTTCGTCCGGAGACTTTCGGATTCGATGAGACGTTTTTGTAAGTCTTCGATTTTGCGGCCGCGTTCGAGGGCAGTGATCTGCAAAAGTTGAAAGTAGACGAAAAATATACAACTCGTGCGAACCTTGTAGTCAGCAGCTTCAGCCAGTTGCGAGTTTAAATCCCTGATTTGTGATTTGGCATCTGAGAGTTGCATTTGGAGACGGTCGACTTGTTTGACCAATTTCTTGACTCGCATGTTTGCCTCATCTCGCTCATTTTGTAAAAGGCACTTGGTCTTGATATTGTCTTCTTGTAAGGCTAGTTTTCGGCGAAGGAGATCAAGATGGAGGTCTTTTCGCTGGACTTGCTCTCTTAAGTTACGGACTCGGCGTTGCAGTTGGTACACCAGAGCGGTCTAGAGGATAAAAAACGGAATTAAAACTGGATTTGGGTTTTGGAGGAGTTTCAACAAGCAAAGTGGCGCTTTCTTTGCTAACTAAAGTGTGAATTGTGCTAAGGTCTTACTTCGCGTAACGGTATGTCATGACAAGTTCGTTCACGACGTAGCCGGGGCAAAGTCCCGTATCCACAGCAAAGCAGCTACCACACAAACATTGATTATTTGGATTAAGGGCAATTTGACAAATCCAATTACCTTATCAACGAGTTTATCACTTTCAAGGCGTGATAATTGTTCGGCTCGGAGAAGAAGAGATTCAGTGTGGAGATCTACACCAATGTCGTGCGAAATTTCGTCCATGTTTAAAGCGCGGGCGAGACGATCCAAGAAGTTCATAAACTAAATGAAGAAAAAATTAATTAATTAATCTTTGAGTATTTTTTTGAAACTACCGTGGTTTTGTCTCTCTTCAAGCCATCCCTTGACAACTCCATCGCGCTGATCTCAGCATCGGCTTTATGCAATCTGGCTTCAAGATGATTCTTTTCATCTTCCAGTGCACGAATCCTCGAATTTGCTTGATCGTAAAGCGAGATTTGCCGTGTTAATTGTTGACTCTCGTGGTTTAATTTATCTTTCAAAGCCTCAATTTGCTAGACATATTAAAATGAGAAGCGTTTCAAACATCACCAGCCTTACCGTTTCTTTATCTTTATTATCCGTAAGGATATCTCTAATCCGGTCTTTAATTGCAGTTTCTAACGAATCGACAAAACGAGACGGTGTACTCAAAAGAATCGAAAATGATTCCAAAGTGTGTCTGTGCTCACTTTGTAATCTTTGGATTTTTTCCTCTCTAATTTTCAATTCATCTAAATTAAGAAAAAATAATTTGGAAGCTTAATATGAAATTTAGCAACCTCTAAGCTGACAAATTGTGCTTTCCTGTTGGGCGATATTCCCACTCGCCGACCCTAGACTCCGATTGGAAAAAGCCAATTTCTCCTTGAGTTCGTTCAAATCACGTTCCAGGACTCTTTGTTGTATTTCAAGAGATTCTTTCTCCTGACGTAACCGATCAATTTCTAATACTTGAGCCGCCGATTGTCTTTGAAGACACTCTTTGTCGGCCAAAGTCCGATCTAAATTCTCCCGACACGTCCTCAAATCCAGTTCAGTACTCGATAAATTGTCTTGGATGTTATTAGACCGGTTTCTTAACCGTGAAGTTTCCTAAAAAATACTCACAAAACGACGATTAAAAACCGGTGGGACAATACTTGGACTAATTCGGAGGCTTTATGAACGATTGACTCCGGAGTAAGATGTGAGCTTTCGGCCAAATCTACTCCCAAAGCGACAGAAAGTCGCCGAATCAAATCCTGGAGTTGAAGTCTCGCCGATTCTTTTTTCTGTTCTTCAGAGTTTAAATCGAGCTCAAGCGCTCGCACTTTCTTCTCCAATTCCTTTGCTTTATCTTCATTGTATCGATTATCACGCTGCAAAGTTTGAATAGCGATTTCATTGCGCCCTTGTGCTGCAAATAAGTTCCTTTCGCGTTCTTCCAATTCGTGGATGCGTTTCTTGAGCGAAGCAATAATTGCATTTTGACGAGCTGCTTGTTCGCGCAACTGGTCCGCTTCCACTTGGAGATCTATACATCGCTGGTCTCGACTTCGTAACTGACTTTTCATTTCTGATAATTCCGAAGTAAGGCGATCGCGTTTGTACTGAAGAGCTGCAAGTTCGCTACGCAAAGTCGTGGTTACGTCAACTTCAGGATCGTCCATCTATAAAAAGCCATTGTCAACTACCTACCTCTCAGGGTTGATAAACACTGACAGAAATTCCGTGATAGGAACGCATAATCGGGGATGGATACCGCAGTTTGAAGATCAATTGTGTGCGCACGAAAGGCCAAATTAGACCATTTGAAAATTTTCAAAATTTTTGAATTTGTCTTCAAGGAGAAATAATTTTTTTGTTCGTGGGAGGAAATTAAGAAAATTGTCGCTTTTTCTTTATTGTCATATTGATAATAAATCGATGACCTGTTTCATTTCGGTACCATCTAACGAATGATCCGATTTTTATATAAAAATTCTTGATTAAAAATAGCTCGGTTTGGTTGAACGCCACGAGTGAATCGGATCGATATTGCATTGCAACCCTCAGTGCATACAAACAATTTTCCCAAATACTATTTTTGCTAGCTTACCACGTTGTCTTTGCACAGCACTTCAAATATTTGCCAATCCTCTTCCGTATTTCCAGATGTGACGGATTCAGGAGGTGCAGCCATGATCGCCTATTAAATTTGAATCACCCATAAATTACAATTAAACTCGACCAGTGTTTGTAAATAATTTCAAAAACGTTTATTTACTACAACAATGCTACAGTTTAGTCACGCCATCTCTGGCCGTATAATCGATATAACCAAGGAGTCCGTCCTCCTCAAGGGGGAATAAAACTCACTAGTTACCGTACTTATAGTATTGTATTTGCGACTTTTTACATAATTATTTTTTGCGGTCGAGTTTGAAAAGAGTGCGGACGGATTCCACAAGTCCTATGGCGAGGATGACAGAAGTGAGGCCTAAAAGGACTCGGTCGCTTGCACCACCTTTGATGTAAATGGGGACGCCGTCGTCGCGCTGAAATTTTTCGTAGTTGCGACGAAGGTTCTCCGGGAGGCCATTTGAATAAAATCTTTTAAAACCATTCTGGGAAAATTGTAAAAATGTTTTGTCGGAATTGTCATTTTAATCTTACCTGTGGTTTTATGAAATGACGAAGGTTTGATAGTTTTGGAGTCATTCTGTAATGAACTGATTGAAGGAAAGACTAATTGCGAATGATTAGAGTTGTAACAGTGCCAAATTTATTTCAGGTGTTAAGAGAGCCAATGAATTTATTTATATTAGATTGATTTAAGTTCAAGTTACAATTTTCTTTTTGATTAGGAATGAAAATCCATTACTTAAAATAAATCGTGTGAATTTTTCATTGTTTTAATCAATTTGTAGAATAAATGATTGTCTTTTTATCATTACATACTTATAAAATATTCTAAAATGTTATTAATAGATTTGTAAAAACATTTTCTTAATTCTCAGATAAAACACACAAATTATTCAAGGTTCTGAAATTCAAAATAACCACATAAATACCAGTGTAACCACCAATGTGTGCAGCAAATTGCATATTCTTAAAATAATTTCAGCATTGTATAATTAGTTGCCTATACACCAATACTATAAAAATGTTTCTGAACTCTGAATATCATATACACTTTTTTTTCACAATAAAACACGTTATTACTTAAAAACAAATTTATTCATCTCCTCAAGTTAAATATATTACAATTACTTCGCTAAGTTCCTCTCTCTCAAAGGCAGTGTTTCACGATGGTGTCCCGACATTTTGAAAAGTACCCCCGTATCGCCCATATCGGCGTTAAAGCCGGGCTGGTAAACCTCTCCAGGTGCCTGTAAAAAACTGATTAATACCAAAAACTTATTATTTCTCAAGTAAACTAACATTATTCATAATATCGTGATAAATCTTAGCGTCTTCAGCATCAATCACCATTTCCGGTACGTGATGAAGTGGAACATTGAAATAATTCTGCAAGGAATCTTTGTGATCGGCATACCTACAATGAAAAATGCCAATAAAACAAAAGATTTTTATAAAAAAACTACTTGTTTCTAAGTGCGCCCCAATCTTCCTCAGTGTGTCTCCTCCAATCTTTGCATTTGGGATCATGAAGATCGTAATTATCAAAATCGATACGCTCAATATCCTCCACAACGATCTCAACTTCGCCCCCATCTGACCAATCGTAAATCAAAAGTTCTGCATGTTTGCTCAACTCTTTGAGGTACTTCTGTTTGTAAACTTTTTCCATGACTGATAAATATTGAGGCGTCAACACTTGCGAATTTTTTTCAAAAGGAAGGGCACGCTTTTTGATATTTTCCTGAACCTTATTGACAGGAACGTCCAAATAAATTAATAAATGCGGGCGCAGAAGCTCATTAATTGTGTTTTGGCGGACTTCGTAATAACCTTTGTAGGCTAAAATAAAATTATAAAGTGATGTTCCATCACTGTGCTAGTGAATTACCGCCTTTAGACAAATATCCTTGACTATACATTGCTTCAACAAAGACAAAATCTGAAAAGCAACACCTATCAAGGACAATGCCTTGTCCTGTACTCAATAAATGAGCCAAAGCGTCGATATATTGCGAATATTTTGTATGGTATTGAAGAAATTGGAAACCAGCAGTGTTTTTGTGTTTGGGCGTAAGCAAAAAATCTTTGACATCGAAACTTCTACAAGATTCTGGCAACTGCTCATCCAACTGTCTCAAATCATAACCATACTCGTTTATATAAACCATATCTAAGTTCGCTTCAGGCATGTACAACATATCCAACTCCTCGGCTAATTCCTTAGCAAATTTCGACTTGCCAGCTGCTACAGGACCCTCAACTACCACAATCTAAAACAGTTGAATGAACAAAAATTAAGGCACATTTGATATCTACTTTTGAATTTTCATCGAGCCGTGATGTTGTTCGGTCAGTCCAGTAATTTAAAATCGTGTACGACTTTTCTTTGTAGTTCCATGGGGCTGGTTTCGGGGGCCTGTCGTCTTGGCATCGCAACAATTTACCGCTGATAAATCGCAAAGACGTAACTTCTGTTTTCGCAAATAAACCCTTATTGGCCAAACGCAGCCCAATACGAACCAAATTTGCCATTTTGGGCTAAATTTTTCGAAAATTTGATGTTATGTAAAAATAATTTGACAGCTGACAAATGACAGTGGTGACACTTGTTTAGTTATTTCAGCTGCGTTGTGGTGGTACCAATGCACAGAAATTTAAATATTTATCAAAAAATAATTGTTTATGTTTATAAAAATAATAAATTTAAATATATGTTGGGATAAATATAACAGACAAATTTATTTTTTGTCAACAAAATCTATATGTTTTTTTTTCTATTCCTGGTCGTGAGACACGTCACCTGTCACTTATTGGTAAAATGTCGGACCAGAAAAAGAAAATTGTACTCTTAGATGGATCTTTTGGCTTCCAGTTGAGTAAGTACGTTTCAAAATCTCTCGATGGGGACCCTTTGTGGAGCGCCAGGTCTTTAGCATCGGATCCGGAAGCTGTTATTCGTGTTCACCTGGATTATATCAAAGGTGCCCCCATGTGACTCCACTTCCGCCCATTTAACCCGTATTATTTTAGCCGGTTGTGATATAATCGAAACTAACAGTTATCAAGCTAGTATTCCGGGTTTTATGAAATATTTAAATCTCTCAAAGGAGGAAAGCTATAATCTTATAAAAAAATCAGTAAGTTTGGCAAAAACAGCAATCGAGAGGGCGCAAAGAGACGGCATTTTGCAAGGTAGTTGCTACACTTTTCTGATTTTTAACGGAAAAAAGTGAATAGGTGACGCAAAACCTTTGATTGCTGGTTCAGTTGGACCTTATGGTGCTTACTTACACGATGGGTCTGAATATAACGGTTATTACACTGAGAGGATATCAAGGGAGGAGTTTATAGATTATCACAAGTCGCGAATTTCAGCTTTGATTGAGGGTGGGGTTGATTTACTTGCAATTGAGACAATCCCGAGTAAAACGGAAGCGGAAATTATTGTTGAATTGATAAAAGAGTATCCAAATATCAAAGCGTGGCTTTCATTTAGTTGTCAAGTATTTAACTACTTTATAACATAATTGAAATTGTATAATTAATTTGTAGGCAGAGGGGGTTTATACAGCACACGGCGATAATTTCAAAGACGCTGCAACCTCGTGTTATAAATTAAATCCAGATCAGATAATTGCGGTGGGGGTCAATTGTATAGCCCCCCATGCTGTGGAGCCCCTCTTAAAGGAGATAACTGGCATTCCGTTGATAGTTTATGCAAACAGTGGGGAGAAATATGACCCAGATTTAGGGTAACTGCGCAACCTCTGTGTATTTGTTGTAATAATTTTTATAGGTGGGATAATAATTGTGAAAAATTGGAGGAATATGTCCCAATTTGGCTAAACTTGGGGGTGAAATTTATCGGGGGTTGTTGCCGAGTTTGCGATAATTACATAACAAAAATCGCAGATGAGGTGAGAAAGTGGGAAGAAAATAACTCGTAAAAAGCATTTATTTGATAATATCTCTACATTTAATAAATTTTTTGATAAAGTTTAGCATGTCTTATCTTTATCTCCTATCCACGTGCCTGTGCTGTCACAGGTCAAAATGTATTGACCTTTGTTGGGACAAATCAGTGTCACTTGATCTTCGAATAGATAAGAATTTCCAACAATGATTGTGGCCTCGTTGACTGAAGGCTTGCGGCAGGATTTTTCTGAACAAAAAAATGTTAATTTTTTAATCGCTATAATTAAAATTTGACTTACTGGAACATTTAGCTCGCATTCGGCTCCATCGCCCATTAGCCAGACATCGGGTAGTACCATCGCCGAAAATCTTATATCCATCGATACAATCCAACTTTATCATATTACCAAAATGGTATTTCCCGTTTTGGTCGGGTTCCGTATTTATTACCATGTTTTTGTATTTTGGGATAGGACACTCGACCGCTAAAAAATTTGTATGTAATCGTACATATTGCAAATTTTTAGTTGGTACGCCTGCACGTGATATTGGGTTCAGTCCAGTACCCGTCGATGATACAAGACGTGGAATTATCCCCAAATAACTTGTAACCAGTCCGACACTTGTAAAAAATAATATTGCCAGTACCATTCCCGACCTCGTACAACGTTTCGAGAATCACATATCCATTATCAGGCGCCGTGGGTATTTTGCTAACATCACAGCTCAACTGTGTCACACTGTTAAGACATTTGGGCGGCTCAAAATCCCAAGTCCCTAAAAATCCATAAAAGGAAATAAATTTTCAAAAATCAAAAATTACCATTTTCCTGACACGTGATCACACTTTCGCCCGAAATGTTAGTTTTTGGGTCACAGATGACCTCGACTTGGGTCCCAACATCGAAAGTTGATTCATTTTCGATGAAGTCCTCGTAACTATGGTCCGCGAAAATAGTCAAATAACTATTTTCCGGTTTTTGGAACGCCGTACATTGCAGACCCACACAAGTGGGTTTTTCAGGGTACCAAGTACCGTTTTCAGTACATTTAATAGTACCATTGCCCATCAAATTGTAACCCTCGTAACATCTATAAGTTACACTTTCGCCGAAATAATATTTCGTGCCGATTAAGTAGGCGTTGCGGACGTAACCGGGGTTACCACAATACACCCCTAGAACTCAAAACTAAATCATGTGACTACAACAAAAGGAGAAAAGTACTTTTACAGTACGGCTCGTATATTCCCTCCCATTTTGCCGCTTTGGTACACTTACGACCCTCTTTATATGCCTCGTGGCTCAAATAGAAGCCTTCGTAACAATCATAGTAGGCTATGTTATCGGCAATGTTGATGATGCCGTTATAGACCGGTTTGGGGTCTTCGCATTTGGCACAAAACGTGGAATTATCAATTTTGACGTTGCCTTCGACGTGGTTTTGTACGTCTGGCCAGCCGAAAACATCGCCATATGCCATGTCATGACAGTCTGTCATATGTGATTGAATCTCATCGACTGTCAGTTGTTTCGACCAAACGTCAAAGTAAGCCATACGGCCGATAAAAGTCTCTAATTGGCTGAAATGCCCTCCGAGTATGTCCTGTTCTTGACCTATGACCATATTTCCGCCTCCTGCGATTTGGGTTCCGGTGGCCAGTCCTGAGCCACTTTTGATGATTTTGCCGTCAACATAAAGTTCGAAAAGGCCTTTAGGACTTGTCCATGTGACACACAAGTGGTGCCATAAGCCGTCATTTAGTAAAACATCAGTGACGGCGTATTGATTATTAACATATAGCACAAGTCTGGAATTTAGTATAAGAGAGAAATTTGAATTTTTTCGGAATTGTAATACCCGGTATAGTCCGTTAGAGTGAATGCGTTATCATAATTCTTCGTTGCGTAAGATAGGAGTGTTCCGTAATTGAAGTTATCCTTAGTTTGGAGCCAGAGACAGGCCGAGATTTGGGTCAGGTTCCGCTCGAAACCGTTCAGTCTTATATAATCGGTCGTGGAAAATTTTTGAAAGTGCAAAACATAGTCGGACTTGCGTTGAAATTCGCATTTTTTACCGTAGAAAAATCGCGGACAAGTGCACACGAAGAAAGAGGATTGGCTTGAGCAAATGCCGCCATTTAAACATGGACTATCTTGACAATAGTCAATTTTTTCATCGCAATATTTTCCTATGAAGCCTTCCGGACAAACGCAACTAAAATTTTGAGTTAGAATTCCACACCCGAAAAAAAATGTGGATGCAACTCGTGAAAAATTTTACATACTTGTAGCTACTTTTCGTGGCATTTGTTTCCATAACATTCACACAAATACTGTTTCCTTGACACGGCTTGTAATCACAAGGCAAAATATTGCACCGTTTCCCAATAAAACCCTCCGAACATTGACATCTATATCCGTTGAGTTCATCAACACAAGTCGAATTATTTTCGCAAATATTTATACTGCAATAATTTAGTTTTATTTCGCACGTCTCACCCCCATATCCAGGGGGACACCAACAGAAATAATCATCGGGTTCGTCATGATGACAAGTACCGTTATTTAAACAAATCAACAAACATTTCTCTTCTGTTTCCTCACACAATGTTCCGGTGAAGCCTTTAGGGCACAAACATATGAAATTTGATTTCATTTCTTGACAAATTCCGTTATTAAAACACGGGTTTGAATCACAAATTCGCATTTTGCGCTCACAATGGGACCCTTGAATTTTACGGTTATAGAAAAAATAAATGCATGTAAATGTGTGCTTTCACCTATAAAACCCTCGGGACATTCGCATGTGTATTGAAACTCTGTGCTAGGGACACATTTACCAGCATTGCAAATGTTGGGGTTTTTTGCGCACATCTCCATAGCTGTTGGTACACATTGACTAAAACTGGTGGATTTTCGGACAAGTGTGGTGTATCCTTTTGGACAGGGTATACACCTCAATTGACCGAAATCCGATTGGTAGAAACCCACATGACAGGACCGGCAATATGGCCGCAGTGTAGCACGCTCGATTGTCACACTCGGATTTCGCCTCGACTGTCTGAAAATTTTTTTTCGGGCGTGGGTTCCCGGGGGACACTGTTCTACAATTAGGACATTTGTAAAAACACAATGGTGTCCCACAGAACCCAACCTTTGCAATCTTCGATTTTTTTCGAATGCACTTTGCGTGTCGAGTGATTCTTTGGACACACTGTACATTGGGTTTGGCCTAAATTGTCGTTATAAGTATCAAAAGGGCAACTTTGGCACCGGTTTCGTGTTGTGTTATGAAACGTTCCTTTGGGACATTGGACTGAAACTCGATTTTTAGGGAGAAAAAAAAATGGAGAAAAGGGCTTTTACCACATCTGCCTTTCCTTGGAACGAAACCAAGAGGGCAGAAAAATGTAGGTTTGTTGTAATGAATGGAAATGTTATGTGACCCTAAATTGATGTTTTCTGGCTCTTGGGTGTGATTTACATATTTTCCTTTGACTTGAAATTTGACATTAATACGTTTTTTCTTTCCTCGTCTTCGACTCGTGTTTCGATGTGGAATCTCTTCAAATGTTTCCCTTTTAATAATATTTGTTTTTTCTTCTTCTGTATCTTCAACGCAAGTAGTATTAGTGTTTACAGTACAGTTTTCTTCACATGATGTTTCTTGAAGGGTTATTTTAATATCATTTTCGAGCTAAAAGTCAATTCTGTCTTTACAAAACCCAATCAAAAGTCATAACAGTTACATCATTTATTTTTTCGGTGTTGTTACAACTGTCTATTTCTGATACAACACTAATGGTACCGTTTTGTTCAATTTCGGTTGGTATTTCTGTCACTGAAAAACAATACAGGAATAAAATAGGAGTTGCAGTTTGTGGCATTCATACCCGAACATTCGGGAAACATTAAATCTTCTTGATTGTACCAAACCGAATCTGAATTATTACACATAAAACGTGTAGGATTATCATCTGAGGTTTCTTGAGGTTGTGAAAGTGGTACTGCGTAACCCTCTTGACATGTTATGACGCATTGCATACCGTCATTGACCGATGAACACTCGCTATGACCATAAATCGGGTCCAATAAAGCCTCACACTGAGCCTCTGATGGCATTATGTAAAGTTTTATTATGTACCAAGGTTGGTAAGTTGTTGGGAAAAATGCAGTATTTACCTTCAACTGTTATATTAATTGCGCAAAAATTACGATTTCCGTAAGCATCACTTGCGGTGTACGTTACTACAGTAGTACCAAGGGGGAAGTACCCGAAATCATGGCTATGCTTGATCTAAAATATTTTTTTTAAGTCATCAATGTATGAGAAACATCCATACTTGAACATTCCGGGAATTGTCAAAAATATTAGGTTCGTCCCACGTGATGTTAGCCCCGACTTTTTCATTGGTGAGATATGTCGGTGGACTTACACAGTTGTCAATAACCGGTGGTTCCTCATCTGAATTAAAAAATGTCGTAGAAAAAATAAACTATGTATTACTTTTAACCTTTAATTATGACGTAAAAGCTACATTTTGCTCTGTTATGAAACGCGTCTTGTGCAAAATATGTCACTAGAGTTTCCCCAATCTGGAATTTAAAACTCCCAATATTTCTAATACTCGGTTTCATCCATACTGAAACTTCCATTTTGGCATTATCACTAACTTGGGGATGGTTCCACGAAACCGTACCGAAATTTTTCCCCGGTTGGGTACTCGCAGTGATATTTTGCGGACAAGCTATCTTCGGTGGTTCTTTATCTTTGCAAATGGTACTTTCGAATTTTGTGTCCCATAAACCATGGTTGCTGGTACACGTCTTCTCCTGTGGGCCTTCAAGCACGAAACCCGGATTACAGATAACTTTGCATTTTTTGCCATAGGGTTGTTTGCCTATGGTACACGATTTGGGTTCAATTCGCCCATTTTTAATAGGTGGTAGTTTGGGACATTTGATTTCTGTAAATTTAGGGTCTAGTAAACGGTTCAAAATGGAGAGATTTTAGATACGTTTGCATGAAGTCTTAAGGCCGTCCCATCGGGCCAATGGCAGGCAAGTGCGTTGATTCGAACCAATTAAAGTCTTGCCATCTTGACAAGTAAATGTGCATACTGTATCTACTGGTAGATTTTCTTCTGTTTCGTTGTAAGTCACTCCGAGATCGCTATGCGAGCATATCATTGACCCATAAGCTGGAGGTGGCAGTTTGGTACATGTTTTCACTGGAAATAAACGTCACCACAGTATAATTATTGTTGAGTTGTGAACCTTGACATGATGGTTTATCGCCACTCCATGTAGCGTTTTTCTGACACAATCTAATGCTACTTCCGACCAAAGTGTACCCAACTTCGCATCTGACACCACAAGCACTGTTTAAAACATTTCCACAGTCTCGTTTTTTGACAAAATAACCGTGTTCGGGGGTCGACATCTTGGAACATTTCAATACTAGAATGAAAAGGTCACCCAACTTGTCTAATCATCAGAAATTAGCTACTTTTGCACCGATTATCTTTAGTTGGTACATATCCAGTCTTGCAAGTGCAATTTTCAACACTGTACGCTGGTGGAGTGGTCGTGTGGTGCATATCAGGGCAAGGGCGACACAAATTAAGCCCATCTGAATACTGACCGACAGGACACGCTAGACACATCTTGTAATACCACCAAATTTTCCAAATAATCAAAACTCACGTGAACATGAATTTTTGAGTCCGGTACCATAGTACCCAAGTTTGCAAATACAGGAATAGTGTCCCGTAGTGGTACCACACGTACAAAGGGCATTTTTGTCGCAACAATCCCCGTCATCGCATAAATTGGCACAAGGACTGTTTATACCTAAAGGGATATACTCACCGCTTTTCAAATCTAGAAATCACATATTTAGGAACAAAAATTCTAAGAGTGTTGAAGTGGTACTAGCCTACATGCAAAGCACGTCGAGCTAGACTTTCAAACTCATCGAAACTGTCCAGCAAGTAACTGTATATTTCACCCGGAGTTGAGGCCAACTCATACAATTCTTTGTAATTTCCGTTTGCTATTCCAATGGTGAAAATTTTGACTTGGTCTTTTTTTAGTTCATTGGCCAGAGGGATTGGGTCCCCGCCATTTGAGAAGCCATCAGTAATAAGGAAAAGGACTTTTTCTGAGTCGTTACGACTTTGCTTGAAAATTTCCTTCAAAGAAAAATTTAAACCAAAGCAAAAAATAAAAATTTTAATTACTTTTGCGACTTCGAATGCTTTTAACGTATAGGTCCCTCCACCTGTGTAGTCAATTTTGCTGAGGAGTTTGCTCAAAAGGAAGCATTTGTTGTTTTCTTTTCGTGGTTCACTTATTTGGTCAATATTGGTTATCTAAAAGACATCATACTTTCTTATTTCCGAAATACTCAAAGATCACATTGTTGCATATTTGGTGCATTTTTTAAATTTAAATCGAGATCTCATGCATACCATAGTTCAAACTTAATTTTAAACTTAAAAAAATAATATTGGCCAACACATCAAAAAATTGTAGTTTTTTCTGTTCCAATAGTTATTTGACTAACCAAATTGACGTATTCGTTCAGAAAAACTGTTTTTGGAAACTAAGTACCTAAAATGACCATTTTACGTACTATTTTATTGAGTCCGGAAAAGACGTACGTATACGTACGAGTACATAGTATGAAAAATAATAGGTTTGCTAGCGTGGAAATACTTTTTCAAAATTAATAAAATTTAAATATTTGACCGTTGGTTAGCAACCAATAGATTATCGAATATGTAAATTGATTGCAGAGCACTAATCCAATCATGTTGCTCGATTCGGGTATTTGTCGAATCGCTATGTTATCGAATCCGCAAACTGAGGTTGTGCCAATATTTTTAAATTAAAAAAAAAACACTTACGACTGAAGAACTGAAGGTGACTATTGCAACCCTTGTGTGATTGTAATCCACAGTGACGTCGCTCAATAATTTTTTAACGAACTTCAATTCGCTTCTGAAATTCGTTTCGCCGACACTCGACGAGCCATCGATGAGGAAAATGAGTTCCAGCTTTTGTGTGTTTTTCAAACTCTCGATATTTTTCTTAAAAATGTCCCCCAAGACGTCCACTTTTGATTTAATGATGGAATTTTCAAGAGAATTTTTTTTAAGTTTGACTTTTTTCACTCCAAAATTGAGAAACTCACTGTAATTATTTAAAGTTTCTAGACTGATCTTTTGGGTATTTGCACTCGCCGAGGTTAATAACACAACAACAATGATGAAATAGCAATGCATAGTGTCTAACTCTCTTGCTAACTAATCTAATCCGGAGTCTTCCTTCGGGATATGACTGTTGGTTATCATATGCGTACCACATGGCGCTACAATGTTTGTCTTTGTTTTTTCTTATTATCGGCGTCTTTTATTTTTACTTTTAAAGGTCTCTTAATCTTTTATTGAACCATCGAAATTAACAGTGTGATAATTGCAACTCAGTATTGAGATCATCGCGTTGTTTACCCGAAAGAAAGAGAGATAAGAAGCAAATGAGGTTGACAAGAGTTTGTTCAAGTCGTCTTTTCAGTTATACAACAGCCAGCGATTTCTAAACTCTCACTTTCGTCGGGCTATAATTTCACGCTAACTCAGTCGACTTAAACTCTTCACCACGATATGAAATAAGTACGAGTGCATCTCATAACTATTCGACAACATGGGGCGCAATTTTCTACTCAACAATAATCGGTAAGCCCTTATTTCCAAAAAGTGGTAATTTTTTTGCAATATGAAGGCGCATGTTGCATCGCCTCGGGGTGTAGGTTACTCATTATTTCGTCAGTAAAAATGCCATCTAGCGCTAACGCGGATTAATATAATTTTACTTGTTAGGTGACCTAGCCGAAAGCCGTCCCTGTCCTTCTTCAAAATTTTCATCTAACAATTATCACGTTCAAAGGTCATTAAATGCTGTCGAGCTAAAAGACATTTTATCACGATTTAGGTCAAATGTTATCGGAGAGATTATAAAGTCGAACTTCCTAGGACGTTTACTTTGTAACAAATCAAAACTTTTTTTCTTCATTCTCATGTAAACTACTCCAAAAACATGACAACTATGATTTTTTTTTTGAAAATATGTGTATTGTTGGTTGCATATAACCAGATCTCATTTACATCTTTTTATTTATTCATTTCATTTTACAGTTTATTACAAGTCAAGCATGTAAACATTTTCTTATAAAAATAAACAAATACTAGCCTTTACACGTACTTAATAATTTCTAAATATTCGTAATATGCATCAATAGCTCGAAGTTCGCCTCTTTTAATTTTTAATATTCGTGGCTCATTAAGGTCAAAATGCGAAATTGTTGAATTAATTTTGATGGGCTTGGCTCGATGCGTTTGCAAAATATTATCAGTAGCTCACTAAGCTCTATAATTTATTTTTTATGACTTTTCCAATCATTTTTAATGCAAGAACTCGATTTCAGTATAAAACTTTTTTGTACCGTCAGTTTTTTTAATTGAAATGACGTCTTTACTTTATTTTATCTCTTCAAATACGGAACTTTTAAATTACCTATTTCATTATAGATTCAAAGTCGTGAAAATTATACTGGATGACCTTTCAAGGTAATATCCGATGAATTTTTGGATATGCATAACTCTAAACCACTGTCTAAACTCTAAAATGTAGAATAAAATTAAGTTTTCAAAATTATTCGGTCATTTGAAATAAATTAAGTAATGCAATTGGAATTTCCGTGATGAAAATTTTCCAAATGCGGTGTCATTGGTTCTAAAGTATGGCCAAAATCCAAATTTTGAATCAATCCAGGAATTTTTATAGTGCACAAAGTTTTCAAGGTTTATCAGATAAGACACATTATCATCAATTTTCAGAATTGTGTTTAAAATAACAAATAACGAGCAAACTTTTTCAGTACCAACACAATATTTTACAATTAATAAATAAAAGTCAGAGCCACAACATGTAAGAACGAACCTGGGAAAAATCAACCACAATTTTTGTATTATGTTTACGAAAAAGCCAAAATACAATAAATTTTTATGACATAATACATAATTTTACTTGTGTGAATGACTGTAACAGAACATTTGAAATGGCGTCGAAGATAATCAATCATATTTAGTGGCGTTTTAGGATTAAATTGTGGTACCAAACACTTATTTTTCGTTTTTTTTTGAACAATATAATAAACAATTTTTAAAAAGTGTTTTAATCTTGTCTAATAATACAATCCTAGTCTGTATGCACCTGACAATGTGTAAGATTTTTTCAGATAAGCACTGTTGTCAATGTTATCATATCACATTTTGAAATATGCAGTGGACAATTTTTGTTTGTTATCTATAAAAAATGCTTTTATGCGAAATGACAACGTTCTGTCAAGGTTTACGGTTACAATTTCTTGTAAAAAATAAAATTTCAGCAAAATATCAAATTTAGTTTCCTGCTGTTTTGCTTCGTTTCATTGTTTTAATTACTTTTACTTAAAACCAGTTTTGTATCAACCTTGGTTTCCAAATTTACAAGACTTGAGCAAACTCATTGAAGCAAATTATAAAACAAACAAATTGAGAAATTCACCCTAAATAACTAATCGCGGATGCCTTGTTTGCACATCGAAACGCGCCAAATTTAAATTTCTCTTTTTAATTACCGTTTTTTAATAATAATTAATTGCTCAATATGTTTACTATGTTGTTGTTTGTTGCCTTCAAACAAACTAATCGTTATAAATTTCAATAATTTGTGTACAACAAGATTTTTGTAACAATTACTGAAATGACAAAGTACAAATCGACTAGTAATTTAGTAATTTCGGTGACTAAAACGTTAGATAGTAGATGCATTTACCCCAGAGTAAATTTTGACCCTTGTCCCGCCACGCTCATTTGCCTTATACCAGCATCTGTCCCCAAAGTCCAACTTTTGATCATCACTGACATACTAGCAAGCATGCGCCAACTCTGATCAACAAAACAACAAAAGTCGGCCTAATCGCACGAACTGCACTGGCAGCCTCGTCCTTCGCCGCGTATATTTCATCGAATTTAATTTATCATAGTTTATCGAGCGCTGCCGATGAGTGGTTTTGTGGGTTGTGTAGAAGTTTGATCGTTTTGTGATTTTTTCAAATTGTCAACAAAATGGCGACTGACACAGTTCTGTTAAAAAACAGGAGCTCCGATTATAAAGTGCAAATCACACCAACACAACAGAAGACGCTGACACATCTTCCACAAAGGCCTAAAGTCGATCTTGCTTTTTCCAACCTCAAATACACCGTCAAACAAGGCAAAGGTGAGCAAAATTCAAATTACAGGGAGGGATTTTATCGATTTGGGGGCGAACTTCAATTGTTTGTTCCAGCGGCTGCAAAACAATGGCATTGGGGTTGCGTTACCAGACAATCACTCGCATGACATAAAAATGAAATTTCGGTTGTTTTATGACATAAGTGGCAATTATGACTTTCTAACTCTAACAAGTGACAAAATTAAGTTTCTCTTATTTTTTCGGGTGGAAGCCCCATTGGAAATAATTGAGATGAGAAACAAAAATTGGAAAGTCCCATGATTTAAATTAAAATCTGTGACGATATCAATATTTTTGATTAATTCTTGTGAAACAAAGGCTACGGAATGCTAATGAACTCAAATTTTATTTTTAAATCGCATTCATGTTTATTTATTGAGATAAAACGCGGGAAAGCTTTTCCGCATGTTGAAAATTTCGAAAAACCGTGTGTTTTTCCGAAGCATTGAACAATTTACGACAAAAACGTGTTTTCATCAATGATTCGCCTTAGGCACGTTTGGGTGCTCAAGGCTCAAGGTTTCCCCCCAATGTCAACTTTTCGGACTTTAAATTCATCCAAAGACAAAGCTTGTGAATCACTTGTGATAAGATATAATATATCCTCTCGCTGCATTTTTCCGCTTTTGACTTTTGAACTCAAATTTATGAGACTTGTTCTAATTTCCAGCCGAAAAAACTATTCTCAAGTCGGTGAGTGGACGGCTGCGATCTGGCGAACTCACGGCAATTATGGGCCCCTCGGGGGCCGGCAAGTCCACCCTTCTTAATATCCTTACGGGGTACAGGTGAGTTGATTTCGCAATTCGAAAGCGAATTTTTATGACTTGGAGCACATTTGGAGTTTTATCAATCTCACGTACGAGGATTGTGCTTGACCCACTTGACCTTTATTATACCAATTCTAGGAGGAATTTTATCACTGACTTGCCTTAATTTTTCCTTTGAATGGAAGCTTGATTGAAATTCAACGACTGGTCATTGTTTTATCAAACAAATTGTAGTTTATGCAAAATGTCTCAAGAACTTGTAAATCAGAAAAAAAAACTTGTTGAAAAAGAAGTTAGATTTTGTTTGACCTCCGGTAAGGTTAATTAGGCACGGAATTGAAGTATTATCTATTACGTATTTACTTGTTCTCCGGACAATAAAGTCATTTTTCTTGATTCTACACGTGTCTCGGTTTATGACTGTTGAGTTAATAAATAGTTACTAATTATCTCAAAGAAATTATGTTTAATTTGATTTTAATCATATAAATATTCGATGGAAACATGTCATTGTACAGAAAAAATATTTTGCTGGGAAAGCTTGACATCAAATTACTATTAACGAATCTTCCCACGTTAATTCAATTAAACAGAATTATTACATGCATTTAATTAGGTCAATTGAGTCAATTTAGGAAATTATTTTGATTTCAATTTGGACTTTAATCTACTTTCATCGTCTAAATTAATACGAATACCAACTTTAGTTCATGAAATAAGGAAAAACAATATACTTACCTACATTTATTTATTACTAAATACCAGCAGACTTCTTTTTTTCCTTTAAATAACTTACTCTCAAGTTGGCATCAAATTGAAAATCTTAATTTGGCAACCTTGACTCTCAAACTCAACCGCCACACTCTTGAAACATCCTGATATAAAAATTAGGATTATCAATTATTCAGTGTTGCCAATAGAGTTTTGCCAGAAGTCATGCGATATAACAATTGACAATATTTGTAGATTATCAAAATGATTACGAATAGCAACTCGATACCAAAATATTTTATTAATTGTTATTTATGGGACATAACTGTAAAATTTGTTCTTACCACCTTAAAAGTTTTAAATAAATAAAAAAAAATATATTAATAAAAGATTGTTATTAAGATCAATTTTCCTGGAATTTACGAGTTTTTATGAAAATCAAGTGTACCAATGTTAAATTTCAGATTTGATATGTATACCAACTTAAATAAAATTAATCAAAGTTTGTTTTCTTCGTTTTGTAAATTTGAAGGATAGCAATGAAAGCTATTTGCTCTGACTAAACATATTTTGTAGGTAACAAGTAATTACATGTTTTAATTTAGAGAAAAATTAATATTTTTGCTAGGAGTAAGGAAAAGCGATTTTACGTGTAAAAACTGATACCACCGCCAACTTTAAAATCTAAAAATTGGTATAATAAGGTCGATTTTAAAAGAGTCGTTAATGCATTTTGTTAATTTAAAATACAATTTGGTTAGAACGGACGGAGTGCAAGGCCAAATCCTGATGAACGATAGCGAGCGTGATTTAAGCCAATTTCGCAAACTTTCCGCTTACATAATGCAAGACAATCAGCTTCACCTCAATCTAACTGTCGATGAAGCGATGAACGTTGCCGCCAAACTCAAAATCGGTGATAAAGCGAAATCGGAACGTGAAGACATCGTAAGCCCTCCTTAACCCCTCCTCAAGAACCGTTTAATTTGCCAAATTCCAGATCACCGAAATTCTTGATACTCTTGGCCTGCTCGACCATCGCAAAACAATGACCAGTGGTCTGTCTGGTGGCCAGAAAAAACGTCTCTCCATCGCCTTAGAACTGGTCAGCAATCCTCCCATCATGTTTTTCGATGAACCCACCAGCGGCCTTGACAGTTCCTCGTGTTTTCAATGTATTTCTCTATTGAAAACTCTCGCACGAGGGGGGAGAACCATCATTTGTACCATCCACCAGCCGTCGGCGAGGCTATTCGAGATGTTTGATCATTTGTATACCCTCGCCGATGGGCAATGCGTGTACCAAGGCTCGACGAAAGAGTTGGTACCGTTTTTGGCCACATTGGGCCTCCAGTGCCCATCGTACCACAACCCAGCGTCGTATATCATCGAAGTGGCATGTGGGGAATACGGAGACCATACCAGGAAGCTGGTCGATGCGATTGATAACGGGAAAAATGATATCAGAGAAGGAAAACCTTTCCCAGAGATTAAAATTACAAACGGGTTGAATAACTCGACTGTCATCACCAATGATATAACTAAAGGATATGCGAATCATGCTACTGAAAATAAAAATCTTATGCTACAAAATGCCGTCAATGATATTGTCAAAGAGAGTAAGTATCGAGTTCATTATACTACGAAAAATGAAACTTGTTTTCGGTTTACGTAACGGAAAGTTGGAGACAGACGTTTTTGGGAAAATTTGAATAATTTTTTTGTCGCGCAATTACGATCGAATATCTTGTAATAAAATACACAAATAAATTCGTCGGTCATGCAAATCGCTTCGAATTTAGACGTAATGTACTTTTCCATGTTTGGCATGTTGTTTATGAGGGGAAAAATCAATCAAAATCACTTGTGTTTTCAGAAACAATTGAAGTACACTCGAGTCAATACGTAATTATCGAGATGAACTTTGCTCAAACTGGTCGCATTTTTTTTTGGAGGCCAATAAGATGCTTTCAAGTAAGGGAATGTTGACCGGTTTCCGGGAAAACTAGTTTGGATTTTTCTGGTTTGCAGCAAATTTCCGCGATGGCTTGAGGCTAGGCTGGATTAAGGCCTTTTTATTTCAAATCGTGACGCAGAGATGGTACTTTGCCCGTTTTTTTTATTTTATAACGGATGTTTTTTTAAATTTGGCCTCAAAGCTATCCATGAAAATTCGGTTGTGAACGCTCACCGGGTGTATTAAAAACTATGGTCCGTTCACAACACACTCATATCACCGCCAACTATGACGCAAAATTTAAACACCTTTTCTAATTTATTTGATATTGTAATTTTATTAAGGATTTGATTAATTAATTTCAGATTTGCCTGCACCTCCCCCTATCACAACAAATTACGAGAAAGCTAACGCCGACACGGCCCTATTAGACAACACAATTCCGGTCCGTCAGCCGCGTTATGGCAATTCCGAATTTCAGCAGTTTTTCATAATTTTGAGTCGTGCCTTGCTGTTCAGTAGACGTGATTGGGTAATTACTTATTGTTTGTTAATTAAATTGGATTAATTTGGATTTTTTCAGACTTTGATGTATCTGCGATTGTTTGCTCACATCCTAGTCGGTTTTTTGATCGGTGCATTATATTTCAAAATAGGCAACGACGGTGCTAAAGTCCTCAGTAATTTAGGATTTTTGTTCTTCAATATGTTGTTCTTAATGTACACTTCAATGACTATTACGATTCTATCATTCCCTCTAGAAATGCCTGTTTTGCTCAAAGAACACTTCAATAGGTGGTATTCACTCAGATCTTACTATTTAGCTATTACGATTTCGGATATACCATTCCAAGTAAGTTGAAGAAAAAAAATTGTATGCGACGTAACGTTTTTTTTTTGCTTTCAGACAATATTTTGTGTATTGTACGTAACAATAGTGTACTTTATGACATCCCAACCGGCTGAATTAAACCGCTATTTGATGTTTTTGGGTGCTTGTTTACTCGTTTCATTCGTAGCACAAAGCGTTGGACTCGTCGTAGGGGCTGCAATGAATGTACAGGTAATTATAATGATTCATTGTTACAAAACACAATGTTTTTGTGCCATCACGTGAATAAATTAATTAGTCATGTGTGGTCAATGATAACTACTCGCAGCACGTCAGAGCTGATTATATCGGACGATTTTTATCATTTCTTCAACTTCCTTTAACAAAGAGAAAAATGGACTTCGTCACATGATATGTAAATGTGTTTACAAGTCCAACCATTAAAAAAATGTGTTAATAACTGCATTCAGCGCTCGAATGGATACTTAATGGGTATTTGCATACGGCAAACGTCATTTCTGTAATTTATACTCAGTTCTGTGTACATATTATGGATATTTGTATTTCTAAGTTTTGAAAACTGGTTATATTTCATTACACCGACAGGGCCATATTAATATTAAGGCGGTTTTTACTACATTTTATTTTATTTTCAAGTGTATAGATGGCGTTAGTCATTATATATTCTTTTAGTTACAAACTTATTTGATCCAAACTAATTGAGTTTTGAATCACCACAGAAAAAGTCAACTAAATATGATCTGCCATTTATTTTGGAGTTTGAACTTGGATAAACCCGTTTTATATGCCAAAGTTTATTACTTACAACATGTAGAAAGCACGTAATAATACAAAAAAATTGATTGTGTAAGCTTTCAGTTACTTCATTTCGTCTTTTTCGATTGTTAAGTACTTTCTACTTATCGGTTTATTACACTTAAAATCCTGCGAGATAATGGCAGGAAATTAGCAAGAGTTGAGTAGCCGAGTTGGCTAAGACCAAATGCCATTCGACCCCGGCTCACTTGTACAAAAAGTGTAATTATTTTTCTAATTAGTGTCTTTCAGTACGAGCAGATCGTAAATTTTTTAATTAGTTATTAAACATCAACCTTGTCGAACTAAAGGTTATGAAAACTAGTTGAAATTATTAATTATCGGTTATCATGTAGGTCACTTCCGTTCCTATCAGTAATACCCTTGAACTGTTTTCTTTCAGAACGGCGTTTTCTTGGCACCGGTCATGTCTGTACCTTTCTTGCTCTTCTCCGGCTTCTTTGTTTCATTTGACGCCATTCCGATTTACCTGCGATGGATCACTTACCTGTCTTATATCCGATACGGGTTTGAGGGCACAGCCCTGGCCACTTATGGCTTTGACAGGCCGAAATTGCAATGTTTCGTCTCGTATTGTCACTTCAAATCGCCCACAACCACTTTGGAAGAACTGGATATGGTTAATTCGAGCTACATGATTGATATAGTCGCTCTCGTGGCGATTTTCTTCATTCTGAGAATAGCCGCTTATTTGTTCTTGAAATGGAAGTTGAAGTCGACTCGTTGATTCCGAGTAGTTTAATTAAGTGGTAATGCAACGGTTTGTAGTATAGTCATATTGTGTCCAAGTTATTGTTATTTCTTTTTCATATCTAACAATTTATTTAACACGTGTGATAGTAGATAGGTAGGGCTGTGATTGTCTGTTATTTATAAAAAGAAATTTTTGAATAGAAGAAACTTGCCAGAATTTTGCCCATGACTGGTACCCTTCGATGAAAAGAAAAATTGTTTAGGTGCTCTTGGACCATCATACGATTTATATTTTTTATACGCTAATTATAGAAATATTTTAATACTTATATACTGTATCAATTATGTACAAAAAATGTTTAATAAATTGTTTAAAAATTACCGCATTTGTGATACCCGACATTGAATTATTTTAAGATAATTGCAAATAAGCTTAAAGGTGTTCCAACAAAGGTGGAGGTGAGTTTCGAAGGTAAGCCGACTTTAGCTGAATTTGTTTCTATGCCAAGGGAAACGATTTTGCCTATTTTAACATTGACTCGAGCCACGGCCATGAAATACATTATTTCCAACAAAATAATAAACTAAATGATGAGATTTTAATACGGAATTCCATATCGACAATGACCTAGACTCGATTTCGATTGCTTGCGATTATATAACGCTGTGGTAACGCTTAACGCACATTAAATTAAACACTTTTTGAGAAAGCACAACGGTTAGCAAAATTTTAATTCGATTGAGGAAACAGTTACATAAAGATTAATTAGGCAATGTCGAACGGTTCGACGTTTTCTAAATCGGATTTTAGCGGAAAGACAAACAAGTGTAATTGCATCACCCAAATTTTAAAAATTATAAAATATAATAAAACAACAATAAAAATAATGCTTTAAAGGCCATTTCAGGACTTAAATAAGTGTTTTAAATACACGTTTAGACTCAGAATAATAAAAAAAAAAGTTTTGCAGAAGGCCACACTAGGCTATGACGTCTGCGAAAATTATGCAAATAGGTAGATATTTTAAAGTCTATTCAGTTCTCAAATAAAAAACTTGTAGTCTGCTTTCTGCGACACGTGTAATAATGTAACCTTTTGAAAAAATGTTTTTTTACTACTTTGTTCCATGGAGATATAATTACGTGCTTATTTTCGTCGCGAATAATTAATATTGGTGCTAATTTAAACGAAGGCGTGTTTGATTTTATAACAAACAATTTTTTATTGATACAAAACTGGTCGATGATAGAGAACACGAAGAAATATAGCACTATTGGTCCGTCAAGGACAAAAAATGTTTTTACAAAAATGCAGAATTTTTGGAAAGTGTAGCATTTATCGGTTGTGATTTGCTAATAGTGCTTATGTCACTAGCAAAAAAAAGTTATTTATACAAATTTGATTGGTTAACTGGTAATTATGATAAATTTAGTGATAAATGGTAGTAAAAACCGTAAAGTAACAAAAAATTTACAGTTTTATCTTTTGATAATGTCATGAATTTTTGCAGACTTTTGCGTTTTGTATTTTTTTTTGAATTTGAAGGTGAACTTGACTTGACTCAAAAACTACCTGCGTCTGTGAAGTTGCAGTGGGGCCGAATTTTTGTATTTTTTGATAAAACTCTTACAAAGTTTCCGTTGTTGTTCTTAGTAAATTAATTTTAGTTGGCGCTGATTATATATTTGTTTAAATATTTTCTTAAAGTGGATACGTTTAAAATTAAAACAGATTATCTCAGTTAACCCTGATTATCCGTTAATTTAGCAAAACAACTATGACTAATTTAGTGATTATTCATTTTGAATCATCATTCATTTGAGGTTTTATGTAAAATTGTAACATTTGGTCTTAATTTTGTGTTAAAATAATTCAAATTTGAAATTGTAATCAACTCTGATGACCTCAGTGGGTCTTGATTACTTGTCAAATTATAAGTAATTGTTGTATTTGAATTATTACTTGTCATTTATTTCATATTTAAAAATAGCATTGTGCAAGTTGGCCCTGATTACATGTCAAATTAAATGTAATGTAATTCTGATCTGTCATTTGCATTGAATTGAAGAGGTTGTCAAACCCACACGATGTGCAAGAAATTGCATTCCCATTATAATGCCCACGGCTTGGGCATAATTTACAGCTCTCAATAAATAAAAAACTACTAATGACAGATGGAAATTGGTTTTAATTCGGTAATTGCATGACAAGAAGTAATCGAAAATAATTACGGTCATTAAAGAATCATAACCACCAAATTGTATAAAATATGGGCATGAATATAATAATCCAAAAATTACAAGATTAAAATACGTACAAAAAACCTTGCAAAAATTGTAAAACCAAATGAGTGCTTAAATGGTCATTTGAATACTGAAGAATAGAGAAAAAATTGAGGTAAAACTGTTGTAAATGTAATATGTCAAAATTTGTCTTTTTTTCTTTAGTTTTAAACTTGTTTTTCGCACCTATTCACGCTGTTCATTGCCCCTGCCAAAAAACCCTAAAATTCCCCGAAGATCGATAGGCCATCGACCCTAGTGAGAAATCCCCACGATGGAGAAAATCGAATTGGCTAACCCGACATCAACAATAGAAAATTCCGTTCAAGTACAAGTTGTAAACCTCATTTTGCTGCATTTTAATTCGGGTTTGCCGCTCCAGAACAGGGAAATTCGAGCAAGTTGATAATCAGTAGTCGTGACGCCCCCGACAACATGCGTCGTCATTCTTATTCGATGTAAATAAACAATTCGAGGCGCATGTGTTCTACTAACGTGCTTAAAATGAGTCAATTGTAGCCTGTAGTTGTAGCTGAGCTACAAAGAGGGGTTTCAATGTTGCATTTCCAAGCGAGTCCATCCTCCTCAGCCAGTCGATCGTTGAATGTTTTTAAGTTCGCATTGATTATCTCATGAGCGTAACTTTCGCCGTATATAACCGGTTAGATTTTAAATATTAAACGTAAATATATGTAGAGTGAAAGTACAAAAATGGATGAAAATCTTGAAGAAATTCGTAAAAATAATATCCTGAATCTGCCACAAAGGCCGGCGGTGGAGATAGAGTTTCAAGACCTGACCTACACTGTACCACAAGGCAGGAAAGGTGAGCCAGCCAATCAACCCTTTCATATTTATAATCATCTCTAATTTTAAATCGAGGACGAAATTACAATTTTTTTTAAAAAAACAAAATGACTGGCGGTTTTTTTATTCCATTCATTGGTAACACAATAGATTTTTTGAAAATTAATTCCGGAAGCTTGCATTGTTTTCCTCCTTTCGAAATTGTTAATATCTGGTGCTTAAAAAATTGCTTGAAGCACTTAGTTCATGCGTCATAAACGCAACATTAATGTAATCACAGCTCCAGATTGATTTGACGTCAGACAATTATATAAGACGATATTTTTTGTGTATGTAAATAAATAATAAAAAATGATACAATACATTGTTACATAAACCGGCCCCAAGTTCATTACCATCGCAAAAATCTTACAGTTGTACCAACTCACTTTTCAAAAATTTGCTATTTCTTCACACATTCCAGTTCAATAGAAATCATTTCGAAATCTCTTGCGAGTTTGTAATACTTTAATTATTTTCAATACTGTGATGCGTAACGTTAATTGCAAATTCTGTTAAAAATACGAAACACTTAACGTCAATAAAAAAATTGTCAACCACAAAATGTTTACATTTTCCGGCCTTATCTATGTTAATACCAGTCGAGATAAACGCAACTATGCATTAAAATTATAATGGAGGTCAAGTTCCAACTTAAGTCATTATTTTGCACAGATATTCGGATATCAAATACATTTTATTGACCTAAATTCGCGAGGTCGTTGAACTCCAATGACTCGTACGATACAAATGAAGTATTTAACAATAAAACTACGTGAAATTATGTTTTATGCAATTTTAAATAGCCACGGGAGATAAATAATTAACAGAAATACATCTTTCCTGAACATTTTTGGAAAAAAGTTATTTTTTTAAATAATCGTTATTAGTTAATGATCGTGTCCTTGACGTTTGACGTCATTGATACCAACTACATGTAAAACAATTATACTAGCAAATGAATGATGCATTTCAACACTGTTTTTTTTACTATTGTCAAAATTGTCAAATTACATTACACTTCAATTTCAAATCAATAAAATGTACTCGTATGACTGTCACTTTCTATATTTTTTCTTTTTTAAATTTTGGCAACAATTAATTTATATGCGGGTATCTAACATTTTGAAATTTGTTTGGTTGGGAAGTAATTTACTTAGGATTTCCAAGGTTACAAGGCCATCATATGTGAACAATGCAATTTGGTTGCATAGCATTTATCAATTTTAATAGATATTTTAATTATTTTAAAATTAATTTAATTATTTCAATTATTTAAACGAAATGTCACTGTGAATAAAATAGTAAACAGTCCTCGATGGCAATTCATTACACCCTCGCGCACTCTCTATTTAATCTTGAGGTTACTACATCCGCGGTTTCAGGGTAATAATAACACATTTTCCATCTGGGTTGTAATGTACAGAGTGGTTATAAATGATTTTCATCTAGCCAGCTTTGGAATTTTTTTGTATGTAACTTTATTTGTGCCGCTCTACTTTTTTTAAAGCTCTAGTTCTGTCATTAGTGTCACTTATTAATTAATAATAAATGGTTGTTAATTAAACTTTTATTGTTTCAATTTCCAATAATAATGTATACTTTGGAAGAAAACAAGTTTATAATTGAAGTCTATTTTCGAAGTGGACGCTTAGTAAACGGCGATTTTTTAATTTTGAGTTAAAACAAGTAGGTACCCCTATTTTCCTAAAGCGGAATTTTTTATTTTACAGGAAAATTCACAGCTGGCTAGAAAATCATTTATAACATTATGATAGTTTAAAGATCTAAAAAATAGAAGTAGAAGTTATACCAACCTTAAAAAAAATCTTTTTATTAAAAATAATTCATTTCATGCTTGCTTTATAAACTTAGCTATTTTTACTGTCTGGGTCAAAAAATTTCTGAATGACTGCGTCTATAAGAGAAATTCATATCAAGGTAGATAAAATAAATGATTTTCGAATAGTTTGTTTGTTCAACTATAATTTTGTGTTAGAAATGAATCATTTCTTCTTTGATAGCACAGTATAATTGCTTGTTTGTTTGCGTTTGTTGACAATTATTTCGGCCTTTAAACTCATTATCTTATTTATCTCTTAACCGAAAAATTAGGTTACTGCCTATATTTTTGTAATCGAAGCGTTCACTTCGTGAAAGTGCGAAAAAGCAAAGAAAAGGTTTTTGCTATTTGTTTTAATAGAGTGTTGATTTAAGAAACCACAAGCATTAGTGAAAGCAAAATCGGCTCGAGGCTTGTCGTAAAACCACGAAAAAGAGTATTTGCAATTAATTCAATTGTCTTCAAGTGGCAGTGACCTTTTTATTGAATTATGTAATCTTTTACAGGTTCTAAGCTAATCCTACGCAGTATTAGTGGCAAATTTCGCTCGGGCCAATTGACCGCAATTCTAGGACCTTCCGGGTCTGGTAAAAGTACTCTTCTAAATATTCTAGCCGGTTATAAGTATGTCTTTTGGTTTGGTTATCACCGATTACAAAACCAAAGTGTTTCAGGTGTCGAGAAGCCACCGGCACAATCTTAATCAATGGAGAGCCGAGAAACCTTAAAGAATTTAGGGCCATCGCTCGATATATTATGCAAGAAGATCTTATACAACCACTATTAAGTGTGGACGAAGCAATGATGATCGCGGCAAACTTAAAACTGGGCAAACACATTTCAGTGGAAGACAAATCAAAAATTGTTAGTTCGTTTCATAAAAATCATTCGGGGAATTACTCCGTCTTTAGATTTCAGATATATTAGAACTGTTACGGTTGAGTAACACGAGAAATACACACACGAATAAACTGTCAGGAGGAGAGCGGAAACGGTTATCTATAGCTTTGGAACTGTTGAATAATCCACCTGTACTTTTCTTGGACGAACCGACAACGTGAGTAATTAATCATATGCGCAAAGTCAAGTAATTAAAAGAGAAAAAACGGCCTTCGTCAATAATTATACTAATAGGTGCATTTGTTACGTCCTAGACTGGACACGCAAAAACTCATCCATTTATGCAATTGGCGTTTTCTCGGTCGAATCCTTGTCCTCAGCAATACCAATAATGAAAAAAAAAATTATTATGTTGTAACTGGCCGGGATACTTTAACAACACGCAGCATAAATCACCTTTTTTTAATGAAAAATGACAATAATTAATAGTATTTTAGTTTTCCCTTATTAAATGTAAAAATTATTGTTAGGTGTTTCTCCGGTGCCAGATTTTATCAAGTAGTTGTTTTTATGTACTTCCCCTAAAATGAGTGTAAATGTTTTTTGAATTCGTTATTTTTGTGATATTTTAGCGGTTTGGATGACTTATCCTGCACCCAATGTGTCTCCCTCCTCAAGCAACTCGCCACCGGGGGTAGAACTGTGATATGCTCGATCCACACACCAAGTGCCAAACTTTTCTCATTATTCGATAAAGTTTACGTAATTTCGTCGGGACAATGTACCTATCAAGGCTACGGCCCGGAGGCAGTTCCATATTTATCAACACTCGGTATTACATGTCCTACACATTACAACCCAGCGGATTTCAGTAAGTCATTAAACCAACCCAGAAACCCGATTAATGTTTTATACAGTCATGGAGGTGTGTTCTGGAGACTATGGCGACTGTCAAGACAAAATGGTGTCAGCAATTGACAACGGTCGAAACGAATTTATCAAAGATAGTGTGGTTCCCCTGTTTGAGAGTACCTCAAGTGGGAGCCAAAAAATGGAAATTTTTGAAGTTGTATCGAATAAAGAAGTGAAGAATTCGAGTTGGGATCAATTTAAGATATTGTTGATGCGAATGTGGGTACAAATGTGGCGCAATAAAAGTTATTTGTTGTTAAAAGTGGTGCTACATATCATTTTGGGACTCTTGATTGGGAATTTGTACATTGGAATTGGAGAAGATGGGTCTAAGACGATTTTTAATTTCGGGTTTTTCTTCACATGTGTTATATTTTTCATGTATATTCCGATGATGCCAGTTTTGCTATCGTGTATGTATAACCCTTACTTCTAGAAAAATAAATAATAAGAACAAATTCTAGTCCCTCTGGAGATACAGTACCTAAAACGGGAACACTTCAACCAATGGTACAGTATAGGTTCTTATTTTTGTGCTTTAACAGTATCAACTCTACCAGTCCAAATGGTTCTTGGTAGTCTTTACCTCAGTATGGTATACATTTTCTCATACCAGCCGCTAGAAATTGAACGAATAGTACCATTCTTTGCCATTTGTTTTTTGACAAGTATCATATCCGAAAGTTTTGGATTATTAATCTCATCGACTCTCAACTTACTGGCAAGTAATTATTTTGTGACATTATAAGGAAATTAATTGTTTCTTTTTATAGAATGGAATGTTTGTCGGTCCCGTCATGATGGTACCATTCATAGTATTCTCCGCTTATGGTTTTGGCGAAGGCTACGCTAGTATCCCCATCCTTATCAAAATAATGATGCGTTTCAGTTATCTACGATATTCCTTTGAAGCCCTAGTTTTAGTGATGTTAAGAGGAAGAAAGTTACAATGTCCGGAAGAAGAAGAATTTTGTATATTTACGGATTTAGATGAATTTATTGAAATTATGGCCATGAATAATTCGGTTATTTGGGTTGATATTGTAGCACTTATCATATTTTTGGTGCTGGTTCGAAGTGCCAGTTTTTATTTATTAAGGCAGAGGCTAACACCTAACAAGACTTTCATGGCCTTACAGTATATTGGTAGGTTTATTAAGACACGAATGAGCGAAGGTCGTTATTGACAGTGATATAGATTAGTGTGGATTTTGTATATTAACTAAATTAAACTTTGTGATTAATTATTTTATTTAATTGCCCCCCCCCCCCGTGCATTTAATGTCTCCGTAACTGTACACTTTATTTGACAGTTGACAAGTGACAGGTGCTGCAAATTCAAATTTAAGTGAGTAAAAATAACACAAATTAATAAATAAGTGTGGCCAATAACATAGTAAAATTGTGTTCACTTAACTAAATAATTAATTATTTCCATTCGGTACGTTATTAGTGTTATTTGCCGATCCCCAATTACACAAATGACTTCTCATAGACGTAGATAAGGGGGGGATGTAAGATCTTGGTATCAAAAACGTGGACAAATTGAAAAGGTCCACGAAAACTTTATACCGATCGCTGAAAAACAACATCAAATATTACAAAAAAACGTGTTGAAATCAATTTCACCTTAACGTTGACCTTAAGTATTGATACCCTGAAGAGCCCCCTGTTCCTAACTGCGAAGAACCAATCATTCTTTGCACCATTAAAACATGATTATCTACAAGTATAAAAATTAAACAAAAACAAGCTATGTACAAATTTACTAACACCGCCATTTCGTTATCAGTGAGTCTATATCCATCAAAAGTGTTAGAATTTGGTGGGGCTGACTGAACCTGGGTTCGTCCCTGTAAAACGTGATCATGATAGCCCCTTGTAGAGCTTTATGTGAGAATCGCCTCTCCCCGCGAGACATCAGAGCCTCATGGACTTCAGCTTTAAAAATCGACTCATAAACCTCCCTTCTCTTCTCCAAATCGTTCAATTTGTAGCGCTTTAAAATCTCCGAATTTTCCTTTTCAGCCAATTCTTTTTGCTCTGTTAAAAGCTTCTCAACTGCTTTTTGGTACTTCCCCCAGAAATTAAACCCCTCAAGCTCCAAGCCTGGAGTCCTCTCGAGCCATCTCTGGACCAAGTCGGTCAAAGACGGTTCTTTTTCCGATTTGGCGATTTGTTCAAGAGCTTTTTCATCGTTTCCGAACACTTTCGAGTAGTTTTGGTTGTATTTGACGCGATTTTCTTGTCGGACTCCGAGCTTGTTTTCTAGGAGCCGAAATTGCAAGCTCTGGAACCCGGAAGCGGGTCGGAGGTAACACCGGAAATCCATGAAATCAAGCGGCGTCATCGTTTCCAGAATCATTACTTGGTCCACTAAGACCTACAATTGCGAAATTTTTATCTCGTGACCGCAATTAGTTGCGAAATTGCAAAACCTTGAGGATTAAAACAACACGATTGAGGCGTTTGAGGATTTCTAAAGTTTGCGATTCTTCCAAAACGTCGCTGAAAATATTCCGGATCGAGTCTAGCTCGTAGATTATTTGCTTGAACCATAATTCATACGCTACAATTGCTTGTATTATAATAAATTAAGCCTCATTGTTTTTTTTACCTTGATGGGTCACAATAAACAAATGCTCGTCATGTACTGGTTGATTATTTTGCACACTGAGTAGTCTTTGGGCCTCTAAAATCTTATCCAACATCAAATATTCACCGTAGAGCATACCATCTTCTTCGCTCAATTGGTCGGCTTCTTGCGCTTCACTTAATTTACATTTAAATTATCAATGAGGAAATTAAATTAAATTATACACTTACGATGGTCTAATAGGGCAACTCATACCGACTTGTCGTTTTTAACTTGAAATTTAGACTAACTAAAGGCGATATTGACTCGATTGGATCGTTGACTTAATCAAGCTGACGTAATTTGCTTAAGCTAATACACTATCGGCTATCAAATAACTGGACTTATTTTAAAAATTCTGATGCAAATGACATACGTAAGAAGATTCGAGTAACAAACAAAACAAGATTTTTAATTACGATGTGGGATGCTTCCGCGTGACCTTAGGCTTAAATTATGATAAAGTTTTGGCAGAATTTTAAACAAATTTGAACCAAAGTAAGAAATAAATTCTGTATTGAATTACCAGCGATCTTAGGGTAGAACAACCTTTTGTAATTTTTTTTAATATGGTTTCCTCTCAGTGTATAAAAATTAATAAAAGTACAACTTTTTTTTATATCACTCTAAAAGTTGGTTTCAGTTTAATAAAATTCTTTGGTGACTCTATTTATGGAATAATTTGGTAGAAATATACCTCGAATTTTAATTTAGTAATATTCATAAGGCTTCAGAAATAGATATCGGTGTCAACACCACCTTGCCTATTTTCAATATCTCGTTACATTTAAGTCCTTAAATAGAATCAGAGCTCAACGAATTCCACTCGTTCAATGATTTGTAACTTTCCATACAAAAACGCAATTTTATATAAACATTTTTCATTATTAAAAGTATCGATTAATTGTTGCCGTTGTCACATCATTTATAAATGAATTATTGTTTGTTCCATTATCATAGTAAACTAAAAAATGTCATACAAACTGTCTCGAAATGATATTCGCTTCTTGAAAATCATGTACAAAATTAGTCATTTCTTGTCAATCACACCCAATTACGATTTTGAAAAATTCGTAATAACTTCATCTCAACGTGACAAGATTTCTGCAAGTTTTTTCCTACTTTCGACTCTTTTAGGGACTTGTTGGATAATCTATCTGCGAATATATGACAAAGAAATACGTTTTTTCGAAATATCGTTTGAAATATTAGGTTCTTTAGACAGTTTAATGCTATTCATGGTGATCGTTTCAATGATTTTGGGTTCATTTAAAACACAAGAATGGACAAAATTGAATAACAAATTCCAGCACATTGACGAAAAACTCAAGACGCGAAACCAAAAAGAAGGAAACTTCTTGAAAAATGCTTATTTCCAGCTTATTTTGAGCGTTTTGATATATATTTCTCTAGTTGGCTACACACTGTATGTCCGTATAGCTGCAAAAGGTCTGCCAACCTTGAAACTGTTCCCCCTACATGAATTTTACGGTTTTTGCTATTTGTGGGTACTGATTTTGATTTGTAACATTGCACTTACGTTCAAGCAGAGATACCAATTGATAAATGAACAAATGACGGCTCGAATCAACCCGAAAAACACCACAATTTTTGTGATTGAAGTGCGAAAATTGTCACGACTTTTGGGCGAAATGGTGGGTTTATTTAATGAGATTTTCGGTTGGCCGCTTGTTTTTATCACAGGACGATTTGTGATAAAAATTTTGGTTACTTTGAATTTCTTCACCAATACTTTAGAAATTGATGATAATTCGGGTTTAAAGCACAGGTTGGAAATTTCAAGTCTTGTTCAAACTGCATTTACGTTGGTAATTTTTAAGGAAAGTCAGGGTGTATGATCTGAATAAAATTATAACTTATTTTAGGTCGCTATGAGTGGTTTGATTTTCATCTGTGGTTCTGCAAAGTCTGAAAGTCAAAAAATTGTTCTTTTGTGTTATAAAATGATGGAAAAATTTCCGGAAAGATCGCAAGAGCAAGAGGAATTGCTTTTGGCGGCACAGGTGATTGAGAAAAGTGTTGCCAACTTTACAGCTGCGGGCTTTTTTGATGTTAACCGGAGCACATTGTTTGGGATTTTGGCAACTACAACAACTTATCTCATTGTCACTATCCAGTTTAATCAAGGTTTAAATAAATGAATAAGTTAGTAGTAGAATTTATTAGACATTTATGTTTATAATTGGGGTACTTTTAACTTTATCCCTAAACTTAACTGACATAAAATTTATATTTAGTAACATTTTACCACAACTGAACGCTAGGAACAGAAATTTGTAACTATTTAGTACCAATTCCAATTTAAGGCGAGTATCTGAAACAAAACATCAAGACTAGAATAACACAGAAATATTTGGTCCTTAAGCAAAAAACTCGCTTTTGCTTGACATCTCATACTCCAACTCTTCATTCTTATACATATCGATCAACTTCTGTATATCATGAGACAACATTTCCAACTGTTTCTCATGTTTGATCTTCAACTTTTCTTTCTCTTTGGCTTGTCGATTCGATGCTGCTTTTCTCTCTTCCAGAAAACGTTTCGTATTGTTTTGTTGTTTCTCTTTCAATCTCCTCTCTTTGTCTCGCTTATTTTTCAAGTTTTTGTCATTGGCAACCTGGAAAAAAACTAAGAAAAGCACAAAACCGTACCGATACACACTTCTTTGGCGATTTCCACCGAAACTTTCGCTTGTTGACTTATCATTTCTTTACACTCTCTATCATGTTTGGCCTCTAATTGTTTCATTTGAGCAGCTTGTAATATAACCATGTGACGTTTTAAAGCGTCACGTTGTTCATCCAATTGATTACGCAAAAATTCCCATTCTTGTTTCCGGTGGCGTTCCATGAGCGCCGACCATTCGAGAGTTTGTTCCGTTACAAGTTTACGCACCCCCGGATCATTAATCACATCATTTTTGCTGCAAAATAAAATTTAACTAAAGGTAAAACACTTCAAAAAACTACTTTTTGCCCTTAATTAACTTTTCTATAGCCGAACATTGGGCTTTTTGCACCCCAAGTTTCTCCTTCGTTTGTTTCTTTTTAAGTGTATCATATTCTTTCTGTTGTTTCTTTGTTGTTTTCTGGAAGGCCTTATCTTGTTTTATCGATTCTATAGTGATTGGTTCAAAGACAAGCGGTTCTTCTTTCTTTTCCTCTTTCTCTTTTTCCTTCTTTTCCATTCCTTTATCAGTCACCTCGATCCCCATTGACGACATTTGTTCGCTTTGCTTTTGTCGGGCTCCACTAAATCCTCGAGGGTCACTCAACGCCGCCATGAAATCCTCAAAACCATCTGGGACGTAAATTTTTAACTCTATATTACAAAAGAGCATCGGAAGAGACATGGGAAAGTTAGCTTCAGTTCTCAATGAAATATGTCGATATCCGGCTTGTAGACCATCCAATGGTAAAATTCTCTGACCCAGAAGTTTATTATTCTCATCGTAAACCCCAAATCTTAACACAGCCAAATCCGGAAGAACCACTTTCCGGAAGAGAAACGGTTCTTCATTATAAACCGGATTCAAACCATTGGCCGGAACCATCCGAGTTCGGAACTCGCGTCGGATCGTATCGGTAGGTAAGCCATACATATCGACCTCAACATAGGTACCTACCTAAAAATTCTAATAACCCCAAGTAAAGCCAGATAAATGTTAAACCTTTTTGTCAGACAAAAACTGTCCGGCGATCACTTGGACCGAACATTGAGCCGCAATAACGCCATCTACAGGACTTTCAGCAAACGGATCGAAAGTCCTATCGGGTCGTCTCATAAAATCAGGTTTTAATAAATATCCACAGTTGCCGTTATATTCGAATTTTCCTTGGTTCAATTGCATGGGAAGATCCGAAGTCTGGAAGTTCAAAGAGACCATTTGGCAACCCGCATTCCAGAAAACTTGCGGCATGTAATTGGACGAGTTGGCACGGGCGCCGCTCGGGTAAATTCGTGACATTTGACGCTTGTTGTAATTAACGAATTCAATCGCTTGGGTTTTGAGCAAATTCAGGCCGACCGGTTCCGAAAAACTTGACATATTAAAATGTACGTTCTTCTCTAAATAAATAGGGAAAATTAACAAAATTTGACATAAAAATATTTGATAGTACCTTCGGCATAATCAAAAGTTTGAAATTTGACAGGTTGGGCATAATTTACCATTGAACTCAGCCATGGATGCACATTCGTGGTTGACGCGGTATGTATTATAGGCGGCGCCGCGATATCCCCGTCACCAGGTCCCCCATCAGTCGCCGGTGTCTAAATTAAATTTTACACGAATTGCATACATAATTTTTACAACTTACTTCAGCCGAAATATCTGGCGGTATTGGCCTGTCGGCTGACGCACTGGCGTCTTCTTTTTCTTCATCTTCAATCACAAATTCGCCTTGTCGGAACAATTCCAATTCTTGTTTTTCCACTTCTGGTTTGAGTCTCTTATTCTTAATTAGAATTTTACGTTTTAGGGCCGAAGGTGGCGGTAAAGGTAGACCCGGTTCAAGGGGATATTCTGGAAGTGGTTCTCTGAGGAGCAGGTCGCCAAGGATTTCGTCGCAGTACTTTGCTAGTTTGTATTGTTGGCTCTTGCAACAGTGATTTTCAAAGGAGAGAATTACGGGATAGTCGGATGTTACGAAAGCAGTGTCTCGGATAGCGTAGATAACGTCTTTGAAGAGGATGTCCGTGCACATGGCGCGACCGTGGGTTATGATCGGCTCCTCGTCTTCGCCTCGGCCTGTAGAATATTTGCAGTTTTGTACATTTCACAGTAATAGAAAAAATAGGATATTTTACTCTCGAGTCAATTACGCCACTATTACTTACCGTCCCAACAATCGAGTTCGACACACCGACACCCCGCCAACAACACTTGTCTGTACATTTCAACAGACGATCGACCACCAAATTGCCGACCACTCAAATACGTATTGTGACTAGAATTTATATAGTAGGCGCATAGAGGCTGATCCATTTCCATATAGATATCCAGACGGTCCAAAAACACTGGCGCATTTTCATCCGACATTAAATATCTAATAAGACCGTCTTTTGTCAACCTATTTGCAGCTCTAGCCGCCTCGTCTTGCTCGTAAGTGGCGATTATTTCCGACGCTCTTTTCGCATCATAATGCGGATACAAAATCTCGTTCAAACGAGGATCTCGTTGTTTCTCGTTGAGAAAATTAATAAACTGCTCGAGATTCATATAGTCGGCTTTGCCTTGTGTACTAAAATAGGAAAAAAAAAGAAATGATATGTTTCTACACACCCTGATGCAGAAAAGTGAAATTTTCTACACCGGTATGGAAACAACGAATTACATGCTGCGGAATAGCTCCTCGATGTCGTTCCGAGGACATATTTTGTGATACAGGGCGTAAAACTTCTCGAATGTGAAGTGTTCCGGTTCGATGACTTCGTTTTTGCCACTCGGTAGATCCAAATCGGCTAAACATTGGTAAACCAATTTTTCGGTTTTTCCGGAAGCGAAAGTACGCGCCACGACTTTGACTGGCACTTTACCTCTGGCATCGGTCAAAAAACCGAGCCGCATCCAACTGTAAAAAATATCAGTTTTGCCAATCGTAATTTGACACTAGGATGCAAGCAAACACTAACTATGCCCCCAAGGAAGAAACTATATACAAAAACTCACTGTTTCATCAAGGCAGTTCTCGGGCAAACGTTAACAACTTTATTGTTGTGAGTAATACTCCTCAAAGCTTGTTGCCAGATCTGCAGAAGCCATGCAAAAAACAAATTTATAAACAATCAAGTGTCGCCGCAACGAAAACATGCAGAAGATTAGTGCAGACATTCACATGCGCAAGATATTTTTTCTAAATGCGGAAACTTACTGCTTTTTCAAACACGTCATCGGACAGAAGTTATTGGCTTTCACGTTATGAGTTATTTTTCGTAAACCGTCCAACCAAACCTAATATTGCAAAATTTTAATTTTGAAATTGCAACGAAAAAAACAAGGTGGCTTTTTATGATTCATTTTTCAACGCCACTTGAGTACCCAATTTTTATTATTTTTTTAATACAAAAAGAATTAAAATTACCTTTGCCGTCTCCGCATTAGGGCACACAATATGCTGGTAATTAATATTGATATAATCGGTGCCGCTACAAATGGTCAGCGACTTCTTCTCAAGATCCGGCCCGTGTTTGCTCTCAAGTTGGCTGAACAATTTGGGATCTTTCGGTAGCCCCCCGGCTCTCACATCGCTCACTTGGCACAATTCGATAACGTCGCCCTCCTAAACAGCCCCCATGAAACTCCACTCTTCACAAATAACTGGCTCACCTTTCCCTCGCTTTTCCAATAGATGAAAAATCCGTACTCGTCGACTCGGAAAAGGGCTTTCCATTCGATTTCGTTGGGTTCCTCCGACCATCTATCAACGACGCAGCCTGTGAGCAGGGGCTCCGGCACGGGGATGTGCCAATCGAACTCGAATTTCTTCGTCATGATTGACTGTGAATCAAAAGAATTAGACGGTATTCATGACTGGTTCAACGAAAAGTAAAAATGTTAAGCGGCGAGCACGAAAAATTCATCTTTGTGCAAAGGACATGTTTATTTATTTGACATTTACGTCAAATGTTACGTCACACGTCAATAAAAGGTCGCGGGAAATTTAAACTTAGCATGACATGGCTCAGCAGTGGCGTACCGGATTTTTTACAGGGGCACCCATGCCACATTTGGCCAAAAATAGCGAGAACTCAATTAAATTGATAAAGAATCAACAATTCAAACTCATTTTTAATTAGAAACTGTATTTTTTTACAACAGTAATACAAATAATAATTTAATAGCTAGAAGATCAATTTTTTTGTAACATTTTGCTACATTTGGAACACACCTCTCATTTAGAAAAATAGTTATTTATATGTATATTAAGAATAAACAACTATTTTAATTCCGAGAATGTAGGTAATACCAGAGGCGTAGGAGACCGAGGGCATTTTCATTAGGGGGATTAACGATTTTTATTACAGAGATGCAACTTTCTTTCCATTAGTCTAAATTAATAATAAGAAAATGATGAATTTATCAAATAATGTTAAATATTTTGTCAAAAACGTCAAAAGCGGAGGAATAAAGCTTCATTTTATTTTCTGTTGGGAGGAAATAATAAATTGTATCACATAATCTAATAATAAAAACTTACCGGTCTTCCCCACAGAACCGACAGTCATTACTATAAGCAAGCCGACAAAACATTCTCCTGACTTCTCTATTATTATATCCCCAGTAATTTAATTAGCAATAAATCAATAATAACGCACTTTAATCCTTTTTAGACGTTTTATTAACTGAATGACATAACAAAAAATACATTACAAATACATATTTGGTACCAAAATAATTTATTTCGTTTTATTAAGACGTTTTGTGTCAGATTTGGGTTGTTTTTTCGCAGACCCACCTACCGTATTATTTCTACCCGAGGCGACATTTTTAAAACCATAAGGAGGCATTTCTAGTAATGTTTTATCTCCCATCATTGTTTTTTCACCCGTAGTTGTCCTCATATCACTAAAAGTGTAGTAAGGTACTTTAGATTTTGTTTTTGGGGTGGTGAATTGGGTTGTTTCGTTTGCAAGCATACTATAATACGGCTGTTGATGTGTATTTCTCTCTGTTTGATTTTTTGCAGGAGTGCCTGTAATGGCTTGTTGATACGTGTTACCCGGCGTTGGTTTTGCTAAATCACGTGACCCCTTAGGGGTGGAAGTACCCTTCGGTTTAGTAAAATTTAGAGATCCTTTAGGTGTTGACGTGCCCACGGGTTGGCCGAAATTTAGGGACCCTTTGGGAGTGGAAGCGGCCACAGGTTGGCCCATATCTAGAGACCCTTTGGGCGTGGAAGTGCCTATAGGTTGGCCTGCATCAACTGTTGGATTTAGAGAATAAGTAAAATCATCGTAGGTTGTACTGTCAAGAAATTGGTCTTGGTAATCTTGACATATTATTTCGTTGATTGACAATTGGGCGGCGTAGTATAGCCTTTCGACGGCAATTGCCATCCAGTCTGCCACCGAAATTAAAAAATTTCCTAACTTGTCGGGGTTTTCCCGACTCGGAATGTTGACTTTTCTCAAGACACACAACTGTTCTAAAATAATGTCCGAAAGGTATCTCAAACGGATCGAAACTAGAGGAGGCACAGGGTTGGCAACAGCGTACGAAATGCCACATTTTAGCAACCTTTTAAACAGTTTATAAGCCTTTTGTCTTTGCTTTTGGTGGTGTTTCTCCTGGAGGTATTTCCGAAGCTTTTGCTTCAATTTCTTTCGCATTGCTGCTGCTTTAGCCTCGGCTCGCAATTCTGCAAAATATTTCGCAGTTTCCCTGAGAAAAATTAGCTTTTTTTATTCTAATACTCACTCTGGAGACATGGCGTATAGTTGCTGTAATAACTCCTTCAAATTTTTCACTTTTTCTTTAGGAAGGTGGTAAGCGTGTTCGTTCCATAATGCGAGAAAAATTCGCTTGTTAGGGGTTGAAAGTTCGTCAATTCGAGTATTACACCATGTTTTGTTTTTCGGTGGTTGGGGTGGTGGAGGAGGATAACCAGCACCTTCTTCGACATCTTCGGGAATATCTTCTTCCTCCTCCTCATTGGGGGATTCTTGAGGAGGTTCATTGTTGGGTTCGTCAGTGTCGGTGATGACTTCATCGGCTATTTCGTCTTCCGCCATTTAAAATTTTGATCAACGTAAATTTTGAGAAAACTGACAAAAAATTAATTAATTCAATTTGACATTTCACCTAGGAGATACCGTTCATATTACTTTGGGAATTTTTGAACAAAAAAATGGGAAAATCGGACCCAGAATTTAATTTTTTATATTTACAAAATGCCATTTCTAACAAAAAATCGTCTTCTTATTTTTTAATGTGTATAATAGATAAATGTTATTTAAGGTTTTATTTACACATCAGGAACAGTTCGAATGCTATTAAGTGTTAAACTGAATTAGAATAATTAAATAAGTAGTAGTAACACTAATAATCCCAAAAAACGTGCTTCTGTTGATTTCGAAAAAATCAGACGCTGTGAATTTAACCGGATTATCTAAAATTTCTTTCGCAAACAAAATCAATTCTCTTCTTTCTCTCGAATTATCATCGAAATCCTCTTGTAGTTTGTAACACACACTGGATATTTTTTTACAAGAAGAAGCAGCAGAATCGCATGTCATAATAACAAAAACCATGCAAACCTAAAAAACTTATAGCTAAATTGATAATGATAAGTAATTTTTTATACTTACTGTCATATAAGTGAAAATAAACAAATTGATGATTACCAAATCCGCAATTGCATCGTTCTTTAAAGTGAAATTCGAATTCAGGGCCAACATTGTTAAATAGAGACTCTGTAGTAATTGCATCACTCCCCTTCCGATAAAAAAAATCAAAGGCCATCCGAAAATTTTATTGAAATAAATTACACTCTCTGAGAGAATTCTCCAAAAATGACTCGTTTGTCTAATAAAAGTTGTCGATGGTTTTAAACGGTTTAGTAATTGTCTACTAATTTCATCAAACCGACATTTGAAGGCTGTTGTTAAATAACAAATTAAAAAACACGTAAAAAATTCATAAGTGTAGCAAATTTGGCTCATAACATGAATTTTTGAAAGCACAATTTCCGGAAAAAATTTGAGACAAGTTATTGTAACGAATAAATTATTAAACATGTAGCCGCAAAGGCATAAAAAGAATTGAAAGTAACAATTTCTCAAAAAATTCGACTCCTTTTTGTGTACATTGTTGAAATGTTCGTCGATTAATTGAAAATTTTTGTTCATTTTTGACCAAAATGAACTATTGAAAAGGGAACTTAAAATCATCATGACCGGATGTGAAAATAAAAAAAATGTATTTATTAAATCGAGGATGAAAAAAGTCGGTGTTTTCTTGAGTTGGGATGAAGAATTATCAATAGATGTCAAACATGATACAATTATTACACTCACAAGCAAAAATGCGTAAATTTTGTGAATTGAAGGCCGTTTTATGAGTTTATTTTCAAAATCGTAATCCGGAGTTACGGCTAGGTAACTGCCAATAGTGTAAGGAATTTTCATAAAACGAATATCTTTTTTCGAACTCATTGTAGTCAACACCAACTAACGTACTATTCGATTATTTTTTGTCCCCTATTTATAAATAAAATGTTTCTCTATCAGCTTAATCACTTAATTGCCGTTCCCTGTTGTTTTGGGTAAATAAAAACACAATTCATTTTCATTAATTTTATTGCAAACAAGTAGAATTTTGTTGTTTCGCAAAATCGATGTTAAACTGAACTAAAACAAGAGAATACGTGGCTACGGTTCCAAAAATAGCAAAAAGGGCACTTCGACTAATTTCGAAAAAACCCGCAGCTGTAAACGTGATTGCATTTGCCTCAAGTTGTCTCCCCAAATTAAGCAATTCGTTTCTTTCAACAAGACCCTCAAACTGTTCTTGTAATTTAAAACACAGAAAAACCGATTGTCGACTTTCTGCCACCACGAAATCGCATGATAACATAATGGAAGCGAGAGTAATCTAAAATTTGATTCTGCAGTTCCGGTAAAATTGTGCCAACTTACCGAAATGTAAATTCCTAAAATTGTGTTGGGAAGGGATAAATTGTTGTTCAAAATGTTGTTCAAACACCGAAGGATTTGAATGACGTTTTTTCCGATTATTAGAAGAAAAACCCAACCAAAAGCCGTGTTAAATGCTTGCACACTTTCGGCCAAAATTCGAGAAAGTGTTCCGATTTTTCGAATCGAATTTTTTGAATGGGCGAATTCAAAAAGGCGGTTCATGTTTATGTATTTTGTATGTAAGTTTAGTACTATATTTATGAATAAAAAATGGACCACAATGTCGTATTTGTAACAAAATTCGTGAACAACGTATACGAAATCCATCCATAAACCCATTTTTTTTACTACCATCATAACTGTTATGTAATATATGCCATAAATAAAAATCAAACTGTATAAACTTAGTTGGACGTAAACATTTTTACAAAAATTTTCATCACGATGATTTCCCAAAATTTTATCTAGAATTTGCAAATTTTTCTGCAATTGGAACCAGTGGTCCGTTTTTCCGAAACAAGTCCGGATCACAAGACCCAAAGCCACACCCGTTAACAGAAATTCGTTCAAGTTATCTAAAACTAGGTGAGTGAGTGTGAACATGCCCTTAAAGTGATAATGTCTTATGTAGAGTGAAACCATTATTGCAAATATGATAGTCAATATTATCAAAGAGCCTTGTATTTTACGAAATTTGGCCTTTTCGATCAGAGATTTTGCAAAATTATAAGCTGGGAACATACACAAATTTTCAGAAATTTTGTAAATTAGTTGCAAAGTGAGATCAGAACAAGTCATTGTTATACCTTTAATGTATTAAGCTATTTGAATTAGTGCTAGAATAATATTTGAAGCGGTGGTCGATAAAGTTTGTTTGTGACATGCATTTTTTTTTAAAAGTCCGTTGTTTCAAGGAAAATTTACAAAATATCGCAAATGAGAAGTTTCTAAATTTCTAAAATACAAATTGTATTTTGGTGGAAATTCCTTAAAAGAAACACTGAAACAATTTTAATTACCATCTTGTCGAAAATTGAATCTTAAATGACCTCATTCCTATAAGTTGATTAACTAGATTACAATAATTTCATTAAATGAACTGGGAGTATTTATTTATGTCATTTGTGTAAAAAACTTTGAGTCCATAACAAACATTACTTCACTAAAATATGAATTACTTGAAATTATCTACAAAGGACATACGATCGTTAGACCTAATTTACAAAATTATTACAGTTTTTGGAATAAGTCCTAGCTACGATTTTAAACATGACAAAATAATTTATCCAAATGTGACCAGATTTTACGGATTCGTTCTTTCAACTTTTTTAATAGTGTTACAATTTGTTTCAATGCAAGATTCCTTCAAATATCTCAACAGAAGTGAACTCATAACATCAAAAATAGTTAGTTTTGTCAATGGCATTTTGCTGGTAATGTCCGTGTTAACAATGATTCTGAGTTCTTTTATTTTTAACCAAAAGAAATGGTCCTCCCTCAATAAAAATTTTCAATTCGTTGATAAAAAATTAAATAATCGAAACAGCAAGTCTCGGATATTTTACGAAAATTTCAATTTCCAGTATGGATTCATTTTGACTCTATTTGTACTTGGACAGATTTATGTCTTTTGTTCTGTAATCCATTCAGAGGTGATGTTCAAAAGTGGTTATTGGTTACACCAAATCTGTCACATTTGTGAGGTCAATACAATTTTTTTAGTATGCAGTATATTAACAATTTTCAAAATACGATACAGCGACTTGAACAAAATATTCCAATCGAATAAAATTTCGGTCGGTTTGATTCGAGACACGGCGGTTCTTTACCGGTTATTGGGCGACAATGTTGCCAACTTCAATAAAATTTTCGGTTGGTCTTTGATTTTCCTTTTCGGAAGAATTGTGCTACAATTGTTATCATCGCTAGAATTCCTTCTCTACTCATCAAGAAAACAATTCAAATTTGAGGGCATCTCAACGACAGCCTTCATAGTACTCAATTATTCAGTTTTTGTCTACACGTTGGTAATAGATTGAATTTCGTCGAAAGCTAAAAATTAAATAAAATTGTAGGTTTCTGTAATTTTGATAATAATGGGTTGCGACGTTGCTACTTCAAACAGCCGTAAAACGGCCGAACTGTGTTACAAATTGCAGAGTTTTTATCCTCAAGACGCGCCCCAAAGGAAGGAACTGTTGAGATTTGCGAGTGAATCTCGAGGAAGCGTTGCGAAATTTACAGCAGCCGATTTTTTCGAAATTGACAGGGGCACATTTTTTGGGATTTTGAGTACAACCACTTCATATTTTATCATATTGATCCAATTTAATATGACGTTGTAAGAGAGCTGTCACTTATTTATTATGATTAATTAAAAAAAAACCTATGAATCGGTTGTTGGAACTCCCTGTATATGTAGGTGTTATTTTGAAAAATACATTTTTTGAAATATTATTTATTTAGTTACGCTTTGATTAAACTGTAAAATAACAATAAAATACGTAGTTGTAGTCCCAAAAATTCCACACAAGGTGGCCTTATTTATTTCGAAATAATTTCCGGCAGTAATATGGACTACATTAGCTGTCACATGTTGGGCTAATTTAAATAATTCTCTTCGTACTTCTGAATTTGCAACAAACTGTTCTTGTAATTTATAACACCAAGAAATTGTTTGTTTGCTTGCGACAGTACAAGCGTCACAAGTGACCATAACTAGACTTACAGAAACCTGTAAAAAAAATAAAAATTTTTGAATAAAGTAACATAATTTTTACCAAAGTATAGATGACGAGGCACAAATTTGCGGCTAGTAATTTCTCTTTGAAGTCTTCATTTTCCGATTTTAAGGTATTTGTGATAAAGTTGAGACAAGTCAAAAGCTGGACTATACTTTTCCCAGTGATGAGTATAAGGCAAGTCCCAAAAACATCATTAAAAAGTGTGACAGTCTCGCTCAGACGTTGGGACAGACCCCCGATTTGTCTCAAGGAAATTATTATATTCTTCTCCCAATAGTCACTTTCTTCAATTTGGAATAAATTGTTCACATCATCATACCTCAATTTAATTCCTAGAGACAAGTTGTATGTGAGAAAATGCAACAAAACCACGTACAAAACACAGAATAAGTGCAATGTATAAGCTTGAAGGGTGACAACACCCATTTCACCAATCCAAACATAAGCCAAATACACCGTCGCCAAAATGTACAAAATTACATAAGCGAAAAACTGGAACGAAACGTTTCGTAAAAAATTTGTTTCGTGCGAATCACGATTTTTCAAAACTTCGTCTATGTATTGGAAATTGTTGTTTAATCGGATCCATTTGGCAGGATCACAAAAACACGAATTCAAAATCACTTGAAAGGCCAAAGCTACGACGAGAAATTCGTCCAAGTAGTCTAACACTAAGTGGGTTATAGTATACAATCTTCGATAGTATGTATGTCGGACATAAATTGAATATGCGGTCCCTGCTGCAATGACTGACACTAGAACAACCCCTTGGACTTTTTTCCACATAGATTTTTTCGTATCAGGCTTGTCAAAACTATACGGAGGAACAATAGCAAAAATGTTACATATCTTGTAAAAGAACGACAAGGATCTGATATCCTTTTTGGAGTAATTGAAATAACACATAATGCCAGTTGGCTGTACAAACACGATCTGCCGCCAAAGCAATTAGACTAATGCATAATTTATTACTCGATCGATAGTTTTTTAATTTATCTTTAGACAAATTAATTTCATCACTTGATCAAAGGAGTGGAATTTAATTCTAATACGACACGATCCGTCTATTTAGATTTTAATCTTTAAATTGAATAAAGTTCTTCTGTTTGAGCCAAGTAAGCAATTTTTTATTTGGTGAATTATCATTTTATTCAATTTCGTATTGTATGATTAATAGAAAAAAAGCAATTGGCCTACCTAATTTTTTATATATTGGTGTGGGCTGCAATCAGTAGTACCTCAATAAGGAATTTATCTGTTGACAAGAGTGACAGGTAGTTTAAAAAATTACTGTTTGTGATCCAATTTGTGAAACAAAAAAACGTACATCGTTAACCAAATGAAAATTTCTTATCAGATAATGACCGGTTATTGAGATGTCAATAAAAGTAGCCATTTCAGGGACATTCTAACACGTAACAGAGTAAAAAATAATTATGCAATTAGTACAAAGGTGAAAAAATAATTAGAATAAACAGAACAAAAACTGACATAATGTTTTTTCCATTTTCTTATTTTATTAGTCCAGCTTGTGTTCTCAAAAATGCTCTTGCCTGAAGGTTGGGTGAATATGTAAAGGGTGTGACAAAGTTACGAAAAGCATGAATGATTTATTAAATAAAAATAAATAGTCATCTCCAACAAATCGATTAGTACACAAGTAAAAAAACGGAATAAATAAATAAAACACATAAATAGGATCTTTGGTAGTCTCCGATCTCCAATCAGTCTTTCTTCCTTCAAAACCCCTCAACTATCTCGGACTTGTAATTTTCTCAAAGGGTTTTGTCGAGTCGATCGCGAAAACCTCGGCGTCTGGATTAGTCGGCGCACCCGCTTCGGCTAATATCTGATTAACGTAAGTATCCCGACTCAAATCGGGCGGTCTGTATTCGATCGAATTATCTTCGATACTATTCATCGTTTCGAGATTGCTCCATTCGCCATCAGGTTCGTCGAAAGTTTCACCATTGAAGACCTAAGTGCAGAGAAAAGAAAGAAAAGTGCAAAAGAAACACACAAAAGTCGAGTGTTAGTAAAGATAAGCGTTGAGTTAGCCACAACTAAAAAAGTAGTTGTGTAACAAGACTCTTTATTGTTAAATCAATTGTACATTATTTTTCACAAAATAATGCAAATCGGGCTAAAATACGTAAAAAGTAATAATTAAAAAAATGTTAAAAGGGGATACTTCATGCATTTTTAGGCGACTTGTAATTTTTCGGGTGCTTTGCTATTACCAACCTCGATTTCTTTATTTTTCGGAATTTCATTTTCGAAACTGCTCTCAACCGACTCGATATCTTTTGTAGTTATTTCTTCCGCGTTTTTCTCAGTTGTTAATTCGCTAGAATCGGGCAGAACGTCAATAATACGCACTTTGAAGAAGGCCCCACCGAGATCTCCCTCATGTTTGTATTCAGTTTCGTTAATAACGACCTTGTGACCATCGATTATCTAAAATTATCACAATTATTATGCGATAATCTAATTAACAACTCATACTTTAGTAACAGAAGTTGTGTTGCCTTTACCCAAATCGAGATCAGGGAAAGCTGGGAAAGGTGCAGCAACTCCTGATGTGTGGTTACCAACAGGTAACCTATTCAAAAGGTACTCCATTTGTTGTCTCATACGGGCCATCATTCCTGAAAAAAAATTAAAACAACCACATAACGACGACATTGTCACTACACAATTAAAAGGAAAAACAAAAATGCATCTTTTTATACAATATCATGTCAATAATTAAAGTAGTTAGTAGGTGTCAAACCTACTTACAACCTTGTAATACCCAAATCAAGTTACCTGCAAGACTTTCGAAAAGACCATCAAAGGGTCTGAGCCATGGTCCACCACCGATGACCCCCGTGTCGACAATACCACCACCCCCTTGTTCCTCGAGTGGGACAAACTCTACTTCCTCTTTTTTGGCTGGAAAAAATTGAAAAAAAAATCACACTTTTTTCAAGGCCTTTTCAGATGAGTAAACAATTTAGTCATCATCGCTTGCACGTTTTCAGTAATATCCGCATCCATGTAAAAGACGCGGATCGCTGATTTGTAAGGCAAGGACGTTTCAATATCGACAAAATGCAACATTTTCGCCAAGATAACAACAAAAAAATACTATTTTTTTGGAGAGAAATTTGCACTTGACAACAGCATAGGATTACTCAAAGGTTAAGAGGTCGAGTAAACGGGGACTTTCTGCATATGGGCGTTGTAGGTCAGTTTTATTGAAAGCAATGCAGTTTATTGACCTCCGGATTGTTATTAAAAGCAATTCGATGAACCGTTGACAAAGGCGAATCGAATGTGAGCGACCATTTTCATTAAATATAGGTGCACATAAAACGATTTATTTGCGAAATTTCCGATGCATTTTCTGGTTTTTGTACTAAAGGTTATCAAGTTATTGTTGATTAGGATGCGTGTTATCCAGTTTAGTGTATAAATTGGGTTAGAGAGATAAAACCTTGAAATTTTGATAGGATTGGCACTAAGCGTGTCCTTTGAAATTATAAATAAACAAAGAAATACAAACATTAGTAATAAATAAACAAAATAATTTTTTATTATTTTGTTTAAATAAAATGACTATAGAAACACAGTTTTGTTTTCTTAAATTAATCACAAAATATTACATTATTTATCAAGAAAAAAAGTTTTTTAAAATTTAATTAAATTACTTTTAAGCCCACAAAGTCCAGTCTGATATGAAAAACTTTCAGGATCTTGTGGTTTCCTGTGGCAGTAACAAAACCAAAAATTGATAGTACCTAAACTATGTACACGTTTTAATTTTGGTCAAATTAATAGCATTTTTAAAGCAAGTGGTGCCCTATTATAGCAAACTCGGTTATAACGAACTTTTGTTTATTCGAACCCAACAGAACATTTTAAAACGATAAAGTTGTAGCTTAGAACGAATTTTTTTTTGATATACATGACTTGAAATAAAAATTTATATTTGTTTCCGTTTTGTAATCGCTAATATTACAAAAAAATGTAAAGTAATAAAGTAATCACGAAAAGTAATAAAAACGATTCAAATGAATTATTGTTTTATTTTAATTTGGCAAATTAACAACACAATAACTACAACCTCTAAAAATATCTGAGTTAGCACATTCTCTTAACACCAAACATAGATACAAGTTTATTTTCCTAATTTTTTCAAAACAAATTATGGAAAAATAAGTTAATTTTAGCTTCGTTTATTTGTAAATGAAAGGTGCATCTTAATTTAACTGCGATCTTATTTTTTTAAGTAAAAATGTTTCACGGATTTAATACAGTCATCAACTCATCAATAAATTGAAATCGATAGTTATCGATTAAAATTATTAAATTTATTTTAAAATTGTGGAATGTGTTCAGCATTCATGTTCTTATTTTCATTATTTATTTTTAAAATTTTCTCATTTCCTCTGCTAAAGATTAGCAAATAACATATACGCGAAGCCGGATATATGCGACCTAAATTTCTTTGATTCTACACTCTATAATCAAAGTTTTTTCGATAAACATTAGAAAAAAATGTCGGTGCCAATTCTATGAAAATTTCAAGGTCGTATATTATAAAAAAAATCTGCATTTTCATTGTCAATTATTTTATATGGTCTCGATGTACCCATCCGAATAATAAATCAATGAAAATCCTTGAAGTGACTTGTCGGCCGGTCATTATCAATCGTTTCTATTATTGAAAATCGCGTACCTGCATAGCTATTATCATGTAATGAGCTCGTAATGACAACAACCACCATTTGGAGTTTCCTGTAACTTTCAATTTGTTTAATGGGGGCGATAACTGTTTTTAATTAGAAAAAATTCGAGTGAATCAACTATTTATCAAAATGGTGAGCGCGTATATTTCATTAATTAAATCAAAAAAAAATTCTAGAACACCAAAGTAATAACTAACATTAATGTAATTACGAGTCCTTGATTATAATGAAGAGATTCACTTACCTGGAAGAGCACAAACTGTCGCCAAAAAGGCCAAAGCAACAACCACTCCAGTCACTCTCATTTTGTCAAAAAAATTCGAAAATTTTGTGAAAAAAAACTTGCGCTGAAACCGCTCAGTCACTTCGACGCGAGTCGCTTCTGCTTGTGCAGAAAACCAATTTCAGCCGACCAAATATAAAAGACGGGAGATGACATGCGTTTGACGTATTTTCAAACTCCCACCATTCAGAATAAGACTCCCGCCGACTTTGAATTTTTCGAATGATTTAATGTTTATTTCGGTGCCATTTCAGCCTACGCAAAATGCGTGACTACCCTTTAAGTATGTCTATTTTTAAAAGTTATTTTCTTTGAATTGTGGTCAGATATTCTGTGAATTATGAAAGTGATGTCATCATTGTCATCTCACAAATCACTGACCGTATATGGACTGTCTCTTCTCTCGAATGTGGGCCGAAGGCGACCAAAAAGGCAAAAAAATCCTATTTGAAATTGCGTCGAAGTATTTTTAAGTCAACTTTTACTTGGAACTATCAAACAAGTTTTCCTCTGTAATACTGATATTTTTAATTGTTTCGTTTCTAAGATTATTCAATAAGAGACAATTTAATTTGGAGTTGGCTGTGAATTGCTTAAATCAAACAGGCACAGGTGCGAATGTCATATTTCCATAGCCCACCTTAACATGGAAAACTAATAATTATCAATATTATTATTGTTGGTAACTGCGCAACAATAGCAAAACTGCAATTTTCAGAATTTTTGTCATTTGTTAAATTTTTGTTATGACTTGACATTTGACAACCAAAGGAAATACCCAAAATTCGAGGGCAAGTATAAAACTGTGTCAATGGCAATGTCATTGCAAGATATTTGTAAATAGTGCTATAGTGTAGGTACTAGTTTTGTACTTTGTTCTATCATTTGCGATAATTTCAATTAATTAGTTGTATATTAAATATTCAATTCTCCGCAACAACAAATTGAAATTACGTCTCACGATTTCGATTTATGATTCACGAATTCGATTATAAAATCTTTACGTCCTTGCATTAATTTTTGAATTCCAAGTAAAAAAAAATATTCACGATTCAAGGACGTTCCGATGAAAATATATTTTTTATTACCGGTGTGCTTGTAGGAAATTGCAAACAGCGTCATTTCCAGAACGATTTATTGGAATCATGTAACTCATTATTTTAGTTTAAAAATTTTTATTAAATTGTTTCCGTTTTGTAATGTTTTATTTAGTCAGTGATATTTAAGAGCATCTAATTTAGCCTTATTACGTGCTTAGGATTATATCAAAACACAACAAAAACCACAATGATTTGTTATCTACGCATACAATGCTTTTCTTCTATTTATTTATTTGGTTTTTAAAAATGACCTCACGGTTCTCATGAAGTGGTATTTAATGGATCATTAAACAACAATAGGACTTTATGATTCATACATGATTTAACTGTTTAGAACAAATTTTATCAGTAAGTGCAACAAAAATGCCTTATAAATGGGTCTAGAAAGATTAATCACCCTGTATATTTTTTGATTTTTAAAATTCTTAGCGCCCTCTATTAATAGAACCTATAACTAAATAATAGTGAATTATTGGTTGCATACACCTAGAAATTAATTAACTACAGATTTCTTTTTTTTAATTAGCAATATTTTTTCTCTTGTAATAAAAATGGAATTTTTCATTTTAGCACAAATTGATACTTTCCTAATGTAATAAAGAGCCACAATTTTTAAATTATTGAGACAAAATTTTCAAAAAGATATTACTGGTTGCCTGTTTGAAACAGGTTCCAATCAATTTTTTTCTTATAATTTATTTAAATGTTAATGGCACTTCGAATAAAGCAAACATTACTCATAAAAAATAATTAACACGTCTGGCACCTCAAAAAAAATTAATGACATAATTACACTGCTTGTAAATAAAATTACATTATTTTGTAAAAAAATAAATATTAAAACATTGCTAATAATATATTAACAATTGCTACAACATTGCAAGATGCTACTTGCCTCAAGTCAATTGCCCAACATTATTGTAAATTACTGTTGTTTTTACATTCCAACATTCTCTTTTTTTTTGGCAAACCTAAACAAGTATTGCGATGGTCCTTGCTTTCGCCGTCTCTTGCCAATTTTCAATTAACACACTGTTGCAATTCACAACTTAGGAGGAATTATTGAAATTAAAACAGTTACCTGTAGAGTAACAAATCCGGATTAGCAACGGATGATTAAATCATAATTGTGAAGAAAAAATGTGAAAAGTTTGCAAAGCGTGGGTGGAATCGTACCGGTAATAAAATAAATCTATAATTAATAAGATTAATAAGAGTTTTAGAGAAACCAGTTTTTTGGCATCAGTTTTTAGTACTTTTTCTCGAAGTTTTCAGTCGGCAAATAACCTTTGATGATATTCAACTTTTGTTATCAGAATAAATTTGGTGACCGCAAATTGTATGGAGATACACCCACTAAAAGTTCAAGTTTTATTTCTTTATTCTTACTTGAGTTGTACTCTTGAATTATCTTTTACAAAAGTACGATGTCCGAAAAGTGATTTCCGTAAACATTTTTTGGTCCAAAAATAGGATGTAAAATCGTTTCCTTGTGTTTCAGGTTCGAAAATACGCAGGTAAATGTTATAAAAATAAACTTGCACTTAATTGCGAGAAATGATTTTTATTATTTTAATCACTTTGACGACAAAATAATGTTACAAAATTTGTCGTATTTCCGGAGAAACTCACAGCAACTTGACGAGTCACGCTATGGACAATAATAATAAAAATAATTGTGGGTGAATTTTCTATTTAAATTTATTCAAAATTATTTTAAATGTCATCGAAAACATTATGAATTTCGTCATTTCTTTATGAATAATAATTTTTCAAAAAGTTGGTAAGCCTTGATTGAAAAAATTCGTTCAGGGAAGTTATCAAGTAAAGCAAACCTTGATTTTTACAGACCTAATAAAACGCCCTTCGACATGCGTACTAAAGCCAAAACACTTCCATCGATAACAAACCCAAACTGTTGTGCCATTTCATCAGTAGTGCCTTCAAGGTGCGATGATCTACTTTTTAAATGTTTTAAGAACGGTGAGTTGACCTTCATTAATGAATTTCGTTAACTTTAGAAAATTATTTCTGCAACTACACCTAACGATAAGATAGTTCAAGGCCTTACCCATATGGTAACACGAAAAAATAACTCATTTTTAACGAAATCTTACGTAATTTAATTAAGGATACGGTTAATTTTATTGTCAGAAAAATGACATGATTTTTGATGTCGCTCGTGAGAAAATAAAGAAATAAATTGGCTCTAATGACCGGTTCGTGTTATTATAAATAACGAATTTTATTAAATTAAAGCACGTTTTTGAGGCTTGTGGCGTCACGTTTTGTTAGTAACTTTCAAGGGTTTGTGACCTTTACAGAAATAAATGTAATCCACAATAACAAACAGGAAAAATACAAATTTTGCCGACACAAAGCGAAATAATTAATTTTATCATTAATCGTAATATTTTTTCATAAAACAATCACAACATGTATTGTCTAGTGAATAACAAATGATGTGTTAGGATTATTTATTGACTTATGCTAATTATTTTAGAATTAATATTTGCTTACAAATCTAATAAAAAAAAATTTGTGGTTGTAGTTTTCATGGAATTGCAAAAATGGAATTTTGGACACAATAAAAAAAAAGATGAAGAGTAAGTTTTAATGGATATTCCCTGCATTATTGTGTCGATACTCCGACAAACCTTCGTCAAACATACATAATTTTTCCACTTGATTTATTGCGTTATATTATAATTTTACACACAAATTTACTTTAAAATATTTATTTTTGCGTATTTCCATATTTATAATTTTGCCATATTTGATATGAAAATTAGTAAGCAGAAAACTATAAATATTTCGCGTCTTAAAAACTGCAAGTGGGTGTTTCCCCTCTTTAAAAAACACAAATGTCACACTTTTTGTTCAAAATTTTAATCTCAATACATGTTTCTTGACACCAGCCTCTGCCGCATATTTTATTTTATCTCATTATTTTTGATTTTTTTTATCTATTTATTTTTGCCATCAAGGCCATAAACACTTTAGTGTCTATTTGTAAATATTGCGACGTTCCTTATGCGGTTAGGTCAATGTTTATGCAGGTATCTAAAGGAAAAGGTTGGGTATTGGAAACTTTCTATTGCTTTTTATAAGCGCAAACCTCATTCAATTTATGCAGACATGAAAAGATAAAAAAGTCATTATTTTATAATTCTATTGTAATCATAAGATATATTTTTAATTTTTTTTGGCGGACACATTAATCATAAAATACATAATTTTAATTAATAATAAATATTTTTGGGCGTCATATCGACGCATAATTGCATTGACGTATGTATTTAAATGTGTCATGTTTAAATAAATGATTATATAAAAAATTAATTGACTCATATCCAGATAAATTACCTACTTCATTCATAAAAAAATAAATCGATATTTGAGGAGCAGACTTTCAAAATGCAGTTTGTCAATGGTTTTTAAGATAAAGGTTTTTAAAGTTTTTGTGTAAAATGCCCAAGTACTCCAGCTGTAAAGTTAGTGAACGATTGTGTTCAATTAGTACATATTTTTTCACTTTTATTGTCACTGGTATTAAAAATTAAAATTATTTCTTAAAATGCAAAAATTTGCAAAAATGCAAATTTGGACAAACTGCTTTTTGAAAGTCTGCTCCTTATTTGCAGTGTCATCATTAGTTTTGAGATTAAAACCATTGATTAAAATCTTCGTAAACATATCCCTATCTCTTTCAAATTTGTTGCAAACTACACCTATTCAAAATTTCGGATTTAATATTTATTTATTCATCAGTATCAGACTGTGTTCTAGAAGATGTGGCTTGACCTTTGGGTGATTGTACTATTTTTCATTGCAGTATCGTAAAATTGGAAAATTTATTCATGGTTAAATATTATCAACAGTTGGGCTTCCACTCGCATTTCCGCTAGTACTGTTTTATACCAATGTCCCGTGTCAAGGCTTAAACATATGTCCGATAAGCTGTAGAAAATTTTCCCCAGTCCCCGAAAATTTATAATTAATCCTGTAATTTCCTAACTAAACGCCCACATTTATATTTAGC